CCCCCCCCTTATTAATTAATGAAGAGAAAACAAAATTCACAAGAAATCATTTCTAAAAATAAAATTTATGTCCTACCCTTAGTCCTGGACAATTAGTATTACTAAACTGTTCCACCAGCCAATCAGTTTTCATCTCTCTACCATCACTACCAGCTGTAACAGAGTTGGACTACAATCTAATCATCCAGGAATATCCTATTTCACTCTTTTTCAAGGGAAAATATACTCCACCTATCCCACAACCCACACATAATATTCGGAGATTTTTTTTGGGGGGGGGGGATACAAAATTGAATTGTAAAATGTCTAAAAAAATTACCCCTGAAATAAAAGGATCGTTAAGAAGGAACAGGAGATGAATTAGAAAACGGATATATTTTCTCAATAAATATTTTTATTATCACGCTATTAAATAATTAAACGATTTATTTCCTTTTAACCTTTAACAATGACATGCAAGAGAGAAGGCTTGGATTAAACGAATAAAACGAATAAAACGAGGGTATATGGCGGCCGGAATGGGAATGATTTTTATAAAAATAAGTATAAATTTCTTTTTAACCGTGAATGAAAAACTTATCTTTTAACAGGTATTTAAAGATTAAAGATGTAGAGAGATTAAGAGTAAAAGTTACCTATAACATCATTTTGTCCGTGCGAGAGAATACAGATAATTGCCATATCAGCCTGAAGTAAAATCAGTATTTCTTCATAATTGGATTTAAATGTTTAAATGATTTCGTAAAACTAAATTATAATTCAAACAACAGCTTTGAATTAATGATTTCCTTTAAAACAAAAGTTACAACAAACATTGATCCTCAAGTACCCACACTGGATATCGAGATTAAGCATTCAAGATTATGAATAATTAAAATACCTGTTGATGTTCTGGTTTATTTCTAAACTGAAGGATTTGTTTACACATATCTCTATAAGAAAGGTTGGATCTCCAGGTGACTTTAAACCCTAGAATAAAAAATGAGATTTTGATGCATACGAGAGTCGAGAATAGATAAAAAAACATCAATTTATCTTTTTTTCCTTTGCAAGTATTTTCTTAGTTAACCGACGATATTAATTGACGATGATACCATATTGCAGATGACAACACGAAATAAAAAGCTCCTAGAAGGATATAAAGATTGTTACCTAGTTCTCCTAGGAGTAGATCAAGATTGTTTGCATCAACCTCTGAACCTTTTCTATTCGTTAACATTGGGTTCTCAAACGTCTCATTGTTTATAAGTAGAGCATATCCCCTGCATAATTATTATTTGTATTTTTTATTGCAACACCCCCCCCCTTATTAATTAATGAATTGGAGAAAACAAACTGCTATTAAAGAAAAGAAAAGAAATTTTTCGGTAAAAAGTAAAAAAAAAAAAAATCACAAGCATTAAAAGTCACCCCTCGTTAGAGATTGTTACGAGGTCGTTAGAGGTCAATAGAAGGCCAACCACTGTATTTGTGGCTGCTACTGTATTCCCTGGGTAATTAACTTTCCATTGATATACATAAAGCCATAGTAAAATATTTTTTATTGGTCGAATTCATTAAAGGTCATTAAAGGTCATTAGAGGTCATTAGTGTCCAATTTTAATTTATTATTTTTAAAAAAAGTTCACTTATTAGACATTCAGCCAAAAAAAATGAAAGATTTGAACCAAAAATTAAGCCAGGACCCCCCAGCCCCCACATCAAATAGGGGGCAAAAATATGAGTCTCACAACTAATATACATCCCTGGCCCTGATAATAGACAAAGGCCATTCCTTGACCCGATTTGGTTTTTATTGACCCTGGAAAAATGGTTAAATAATTACCTTGGTTTTGAAAGCATAGGATATATATTGTGACCTTTGATTAGCTGCGTTGCCTTGATGACCTTCACCTCTAAAGGTTGTATACTCTCAACTAGAAATAAAAAAGGAAATGAAATGTTGAACGAAGTTCAAGTATTCAATCTTAAAGAGATTGTAAGAGTAATTTCAAGTGATCCTCCATGCAAAAATGGAAATGTCCGATTCACGACGGCACCCTTAAAAGATTTGTCTGGTCAAGAATAGGTTTTCAAAGATAATCTGATTGTTTTTAAATGTCGTCTCTCTTCAAAAGTGACTCGCGCATTTTACTAGAGGAAAACATTTAGAAATTATCAGAATAAAGCACTTTTTAACCAAGAATAATTAATACATCTTATTGATCAGATAAAGATTTTAAGGGTACCGTAGTGAATCGGAAATTGCCATCTTCGCATGGAGGGTTTCTTGAAATTACACTAACAGCAGAGATCTTGGTGAACAAATAAAATATTTGACGTTAACATTATACCCGAAAATTCATTTGTTTGTTTCCCAATTCTGCAGGGGGAAAAACAATCCTTACATAGTGGGAGGGAAATTATGTTTGAAAAGGGTAGGGGAAAATTAACGATACATGTTTATACCACTGCAATGTAATGGGAAAATTGCGGGACGAACTAGAATATAGTTTTGAAGTAAATTATGATTAAGAAAATAAAAAATATCCCTTATTACCTTGTATAGGAGGAGGTTCATAATATGAACTATTAATGCTCGGAAAGGATGTGTATATTTCTTCTGATCGGACTACAACCTCAGATTCGTCAATCTACACAAAATTCGAAGAAAAAAAACATCAATTGTTATAAAAAATGAAATTATTTAACCTACCATTTCATTTTCAGTATTGCCATTATTTTCGTCTGTTTCTTCCACCTAAAAGACGAAAGTGGTCAGAAAATCGAAATCTTTTTTTTCTATATTGACAGATATATGTTAATTTCAGAGTATGAGTTATTATTATTATTATTTTATAATGATCGTAAAGGATCCAAATTGTGAAATCTTTCGAGTACCTTTAATACCCTACCATCTTCCTCATGAAAGTCAAAATGACACTTTAACAGTACAATCAAAAATTAAGTTTCACATTTTGTTCGAGAGAAATAACTTTAAAAAAACGTTTTAAAATATATTCTTCTTTTCTTATTACTGGAACTGGAAGTGATGTCTGACTATGAATATTTGAAAAAAAAAAATAAAAAATTTAAAATAAATAGACCGGCCAGTTTTTTTCATCCTTTTTAAAACTTATTACCCAAGAGTTCATTTATTTTCTGAAACAAATCATTTATTTTCCCGCATTTAAAAAAATATATAAACATGACGTCAGATGTCGAAAATGATTTTCTAACGGAGAGGGGGAATGATTTTTGAGAAAATATACACCCCTGGTAAAACATTCACCCCACATGACAGAAAAAGATATTAAGTACCAGTGGATCTAGAATCCTGGCAGCGGCGTGATTTCCCGAATCAACTAATGCACGAACTAATCCATTGAATGCTTCAGGTCCTCTTGTCTGTACTTTCAGAAAAAGGTTTTGAACCGTTCTAAACAAAATATTATTTTTAGGTTAACAATCCCTTTATATGGGACTGTAAACGTGATTCTAAGTGACTCTCCATTTTTAGACTTATAACGGTATCCTTTGAATGTCTGACGCGACTTGATTGTGGTTCTCTTAAATATAAAGTTGACCTGCGCATTTCTGCAGCAAGATCAAAGTAAGGAAATTGTCAAAATTTATTACTTATCCAGAATTTCATGAAATCACGAGAAAAACTTATAATAATGTAATTTTGAATTTTCTTATTCGCTTTTTTTTCGCAAATACTAACCTTAAAGAATCAATCTTAATTCCACTTAACATATTTTCAGTGAAGATTTCGTATTCGATCAATCTTCTTTCTAATTCAGGATTCATCTTTGTAGAGGCGACCAGTCTTATCAGGTTCTGGGTTATTTTCAGTTTATCATTCTTATCCATTTTATTCACCTATAAATTCAAGTAATATTTCAATTCACAAATCGGTATATTCCTAGAGAATGATTTTAGACCCCCCCCTCCCCTTTTATCAATTTTGTACATGGATCTTATATGTTAGACATTGATATAATTGACCATGTGGCCGCAGCGCTCTGCCCCCTAGCCTGTCCAAGCCGCAGCGCTTGGCCCAGAAAGTGTCTTAACCTAACCTAACCCTAAATAATACTAAATAAATACTAATTTGATCATGTACAAAATTGATAGGAGGGGGGGGGCCCGGGGGGGGGTCCAAAAATCGTTCACTGGGACGGACCCCACATATCATTAGATTTTATCATCTCTCAAAAAGTTATCTTCATTCCCTTTATGATTGTTATCAACTAGTTTAAAGAAGTTAAGGTAATTTCTAGAGAACGATTTTTGGACCCCCTCCTATCAATTTTGTACATGCTTATTATTGGTCATGTGGCCGCAGCGCCAGGCTCCCTAGCCTGTCCTAGCCCCAGCGCTCGGTCCAGAAATTGTCTTTACCTAACCTAACCTTAAAATAATAAAGAAATAAATAACAATAATTTTGCTGAAAAATAAGTGGTCATGTACAAAAATTGATAGGGGGGGGGGGGGCAAAAATAGTTCTCTAGGACAGACCCCAATTTTTGTACATTCATCAAACATTTAACACATGGATTAAGTTGGCCATGTGGCCGCAGTGCCCGGCCCCCTGGCCTCTCCTAGCCGCGGCGCTCGGCCCCTAGTCTGTCCTTGCTGCAGCGCTCGGCCCCCTAGCCAGTCCTAGCCGCAGCGCTCTGCCCAGTCAACATTGTCCTAACCTAACCTAACCCTGAAATAATACAAAATAAATATTTTTTGTTGAAAATAGTTAAAAATTAGGTCATGTACAAAATTGATAGGAGGGGGGAGTCCAAAAATCGTTCTCTAGGACTTAAACCGTTGAACGCAAGAAAAATATTACGAAATTTCAATTTCGAAGCAGTGTACACTCTCAAGTTGCAACTGACAAGAGAGAGAGAGGAGAAAGAAAAGTACAGTCGTCTTCGCTAGATTCAAGGTTACAAAAACGCGTAGTAGTTCCGGGAGTACGACCAATTTCTTAGTCACACTATGGTTACGCTTTACCAGAGCTGAGGGTAGTTGAGTTTGATTTGCATTTTCCACTCATTTCTGGCATTTACAAACTCCATCAAATAATTAGGCAATTCATTTCCTAGACCTTTCAGCTAATTCACCTTGTTTTATATCCTTCGTTTATAGTCATTCATTTTACATTAACTACAGATCTGTAAAAAAACTGAATTCATTTTAAGAGACATTAAAAAATAGTTTTACTGTAGAAAAGATGTAACTTTTTTTAATCTTTAGGAAAAGCTACTGCAGCAATTAACTTTTAAAAAATATTGACAATTTGTAGTTTGTTAATGTTATTTCTATTTTCTAAAATTTTCTTGTCGTCAATGTACTAGGTATATATGTTAAATTCATATATTAAAAGAGATATGTGTTACTTTTTAAAATTTAATTCTTAATAATCTTGATCTTTTAACATTTTATACCCCCCCCCCCCCGGAAGAGCTTTATACGATATATTATGACATAGTGCAAGTACGCTACTGCATTAAAAAACTCGATTTTCGGGTAAAAAGTGTCTATGTTACTTTGTTAAAGTTGATTGATTAAGATTATCTGTGCGAAGCGGCAAAATGTTTTTTACATTTTTCCTTTTAATGGTAATCATGGACATGTGGAGATCAAGAATTACTAAACGGGAATGTTTTTGTCCCCAAGATTCTGGGGGGGTAAATAACCCTAATAACCCCCCTTATTTACGCCATTGTACTCCTTGGCTTAGACGCGTATTTTTGACCAAAAATGAATGCAATATGAAACTAAAAATTGCAGCGTGCAAGTGTTTTTTACACATGTTTTAATCTTCACAAAAATTGGCATGTATTGGCATGTATACTTTGATACATCAAATACATACAATGCGGTTTGGATTCTTTGGATAAAGACAGTTTAAAAAGGAATTGAGTTTTTGCCACAAACTCTGATTTTATAATTTCATTATCGTTGCAACCCAATGTCGCAGATCTTTAATATTTCAAACTATGAATGCTATTAGGTCAAATAATGTAAGTTTGAAATATCAAAGGCTTACACCATAAGGTTGCAAAGATATAGGTTTTACAAAAACTTAATTTGTGGCAAAGACTCAATTCCTTTAGTTCATTTCCAAAAAAAAACCATTTTGCACATCCTCAACCCTCTCCGTGTTATGATATCTTTGACGCAATCCTATATTTAGAATCCTTGCTTCATGATGGGGGAATATTATTATTTATGCAAAGTGTTTGCCCCCTACCCCCAGTTTAACACATGTTAAGCTTAAGCATTTACTGATTTAACTCAGTTAAAGCGTGTACATCCTATACTATAGTTATATATTCTGTTAGTATAAACACGATAATTGTGACAAGTTTTTCTAAAACATGTTTAGGATATATCTTGTATCGTAAAGCCTAATCCTTTAGAATTGAACAAAAGTTTAATTTAAATAAGAAAAATCTTAAAAAATAAATTATCTATAATAATTAAGACATTTGTATATGTTCCCTGTATGCCGTCATAACGGCTGGACCGAACGGGCTGAAATCTGTTAAGGGACACCGGGCGTAATATAGGCTTAAAAAATGTTTAAAAAATTTTCTTCCAAAATTATTTTAACTTTTTTTCAAAAATTCCACGTGCAACGCCAGACGCTTCATTTATTCTCATACAAGACAGAGATCACAGATTTGAGTTGATTTCAGTTGTGATGATTGTCGATTTCGGTCTTTCTTTTGATTAAAAGGAATTTAGTTTTTGTAACAAACTCTAATTTTCTAATACCTATATTTTTTCAACCTGATGGTGTAAATCTTCGATATTTCAAACTTAGATTCTTTTATCTAACAGAGTTCATAATTCGAAATATCTAAGGTTTACGACATTGGGTTGCACAGATATAGGAGATTAGAAAATCATAGTCTGTGACAAAGACCCAATTCCTTTGGATTTCTTATTTGTGACTGTTTTAATTTACATATCACTGCAATGGAATTAGTCTTTGCCACAAACTCAAATGTTCTACTCCCTTAATCTTTGCAACCTGTTGACGTAAACCTTTCATATATTAAAATCCATCATAGTTTGAAATATCTAAGGCCTATAACGAGATCGCGTTGAAAAGATATAGGGATTAGAAAATCAGAGCTTGTGGGAACTATAGACTCAAATCCTTACTACGGCACATTTTTAGAGCAAAATGAAATTTACAATAAAAATCCTCATGGGTATTATTTCTAATTAAAAGAAAGACTGACGATGTAAATTCTGATCTGCACTGTCAATTGGTTAATAATATATATTTTTGTCAGGATCTTCGCACCCCCTGAAGAATTCAGAGGGGACATAGCTCCTCAATTGCACGAATAAGGGAAAGAGAACCTATAACGTGCAAAAGGAAAAATATCTATATTTAAAAAAAAATTCCCTGCGGCACGTCTTTTTGTTCCTAAATCTGGATGGTTTAGTACAAAAATAAATCAAGCACCCCTCTCACTTAAATCCTGTATCCGCCCCTCTCAGAGCAGTTCAACATGATAAATAGATACAGCCTATAGTTGTACATACATAATGGTAATATGAATAAGAAATTGGCCATATGATGACATCAGACTAGAGGGGTGTCAGGAGTGATGTCAGCAGAGGTGTCATTTTGAAATTTGTATAAACCATGACTACCGGATGACAATCGGGATTCGGGATTAAGGATTTGAAATAGAAGGGTGATATAACTGAGGCGATCCGCTGCCAGATTAATTTATTTCATGAGAAAACCACTTTGATTTTAAAAAGAGCCATTCCAGCCATTTCTTGTTACGTTGATTGATTTATTGATTAACGCGTTTATTTCTCTATGTGCATCCAAAGGATCCAAATTGCGAGCAGAGCGAGCACCTTAAATGTAGAAAATTACAATAAAATAATTCTTGTTACAGGGCGGGCTGCAGGGGCGTAAATAAGGATTCTGTANGCGTAATATAGGCTTAAAAAATGTTTAAAAAATTTTCTTCCAAAATTATTTTAACTTTTTTTCAAAAATTCCACGTGCAACGCCAGACGCTTCATTTATTCTCATACAAGACAGAGATCACAGATTTGAGTTGATTTCAGTTGTGATGATTGTCGATTTCGGTCTTTCTTTTGATTAAAAGGAATTTAGTTTTTGTAACAAACTCTAATTTTCTAATACCTATATTTTTTCAACCTGATGGTGTAAATCTTCGATATTTCAAACTTAGATTCTTTTATCTAACAGAGTTCATAATTCGAAATATCTAAGGTTTACGACATTGGGTTGCACAGATATAGGAGATTAGAAAATCATAGTCTGTGACAAAGACCCAATTCCTTTGGATTTCTTATTTGTGACTGTTTTAATTTACATATCACTGCAATGGAATTAGTCTTTGCCACAAACTCAAATGTTCTACTCCCTTAATCTTTGCAACCTGTTGACGTAAACCTTTCATATATTAAAATCCATCATAGTTTGAAATATCTAAGGCCTATAACGAGATCGCGTTGAAAAGATATAGGGATTAGAAAATCAGAGCTTGTGGGAACTATAGACTCAAATCCTTACTACGGCACATTTTTAGAGCAAGATGAAATTTACAATAAAAATCCTCATGGGTATTATTTCTAATTAAAAGAAAGACTGACGATGTAAATTCTGATCTGCACTGTCAATTGGTTAATAATATATATTTTTGTTAAAATCCAAGACTTTTCCTGATGTTTTTGTCATTTTTTTGCATTTTCCCCCCCCCCCCCCCCCCTCAATTAAACACATAATTTTTTGTTGTTTTTAATAGTAAATATGTTTTTATAGACACAGCTAGATTTGATACAAAGTTGAGAGATTTGTGGGTTGAGGGATGAAAACTTTTGATTAAAGTTATGAAGATAAATATTAATTTTCTTCTCCTTATCCTAGTCTTCAAACCAGGTACAAGGGGTGGGAACTTTTGATTTTTTTTTCTTTAAATGAGTTGATTGTAAGGGAAAGATTGTGCTCAATTCATAAATCATTTCTGTAAACCAAAAAGTTGCTCATTGTATAATTGTCTACTGAAAGACAAACAGATATTTAAAAAAAATTGAGTTATTGCCAGAAACAAAATTTCTTAAATCCCTTTATCTAGAATTTATAGTTTGAAACATATAAAGTCTACGAAATCGGACTACAACGATATATGGATTAGAAAATAACAGTTTGTGACAAAAATTCCTTCGAAATTTAGAATTTGTTAATACAGGCTGGTTTAAGGGTAATCTGCACCCTGTACAATTAATTACTCCTGGTTCACAAAACAGGTAGAAGTTTTTACCATTCATCGTAAAAATCATTATATTCTACAATTTTTAAACATTTTATAAGTCTGAAATATTTTTTTAATTACGTATATGAAAGTTATTATTATTATTATTTTATAATGATCGTAAAGGATCGAGAAAACAAAATTCACAAGAAATCATTTCTAAAAATAAAATTTATGTCCTACCCTTAGTCCTGGACAATTAGTATTACTAAACTGTTCCACCAGTTATATATCTATATATCATATATATATCAAAGTTTATTTAATAAGTCAAATTAATTATTTTTTTTATACAAAAATAATGCAAAAACTGTTCAGATCAATTTTAGACTAAAACTTTCGAAAAATAACTTTTTCAATATTTGTTCTTTATTAGGTTGAATATGGGAAGATAAGAAGAAAGGTCGAAATTCTTTCCAGACGATTAGATTCTCAGTTAGTCCTTCTTAAACTAGGTAGACTTACTGCAGTAGACTTAGTGGTAGACTTACTGGTAGACTTACTGCAGTAGACTTACGGTAGTAGACTTACTGAAGTAGACTTACTGCAGTAAACTTACTGCGGTAAACTTATGGTAGACTTGCTGGTAGACTTACTGGTAGGCTAACTGCAGTAGACTAATTGCAGTAGACTGAAGAATTTTTTCATTAATAATAATTAATAAACTAATCTTACTTAAATAATAGTTTAAAGAAAGGAATTATTCTAACATGCTAAAAAGGTCAAATACAGTAGAAACCTCCTCATTTATTTTTTTTCTACTTTATTTTCTTAAAAAAAGATTGTGTATAAATAACTGCATATTTTAGGTCAGCCTGTACATATGAAGTACTCGCCAAACATTGAAAAGAGGAAGGTTTGTTGAAAGAAATTTACTTCTAGTCACAAACTCAGATTTTTGAATCCCTATATCTTTGTAACCTGATAATCAACCTTTGAAATTAGATACTTAGATTATTTTATTTAAAAGAATTTATAGTTTGGAATATCTGATGTCTTCAAAAATGGGTTGCAAGGATATAGGCATTAGAAAATCAGAGTTTGTGGCAAAGACTCAAGTCTTATGAACTTAAGATTAGATCTCTCAGATAATAAAGAATACGACTTATAAGTATGAGATATTGCGAATTTAAAAGCAAGCAATTGTAAAAGAAGGCGGGTAAAGACACAAACATAAAAAATTTATTATTTTTTTTTCACTTCATGGTTCAAGTAGTTCACATTGGGTACAGTTTCAGTTAATTTTATACAAAGATCTATAATTCATTTTTCCTGTCGGACCTTTTATTTTACATTAATCTTACTGAGCACGAGCGATTTCAACGCGCGGAAGAAGTGTTCAAGTGTTAAATTTAGACTAAGGCTATGCAAATTAAGTGAGTACTGTACACGTGGTACAATTTTAAACTCAGTTAATTTTTATATCAGGATGGGGAGGTTGTTATACAAACCACAATGGAGCAGTACACCTGTACATTATCCAACCTTAATCTAACATGTGCACAAGATATAAACAACGGTTGGCCTGTCAAGGTATACGGAAACAACAAATGTTTATTCTTTAATTGAATTTAAGAAACATACACCATGAGAAGCAGAAAACAGTGGAGTTCTCATCTTAATTTTTTTTTTAAGTTATGAAATGTTGCTCATTTTAAATTTTTAGATATCTCTATGATATCTATATTATTGCAACAATTGCAAATACATTTTACTGATTATAGGACGCGAACAAATACTTTACTGATTTCACAGTTTTTTGGTTCTCATTGTTTATACAAGTTTTTGTCAATTTTAAAGTATTTTAAATATAGGATACAGTTGGACACCTTCTTGGTTTAATCGATCAAAATCAGGAAATGAACAGAATAAAATCTTAAAATTAGATAATCGCCTTTTGAGAAGAGTAAAGTGCATTTATAATACATTTAATGTGAAGATAAAACTGAGGTTTACTTCATTCAATAACCTATACAGCTCCAAATTGGACAATAAACAAGTGTTCATGTATATTGCGAAAAATTTATATTTCTAAAACTTTTATAAACTTTTTATTTGGTCTTTTTATGAGATTTTTAGCTCAAATGCTAAGATTTTAATTTCAGAAGCTAAGGTCTCAACAAAAATTCTTGTTGTCATCTGAAAATCAAAGTTTACAGCCAGATGTTCCGGATTAGCTAAAAAAAATTTGGAAAAATCATTTACGTGCTTCTAAATAGGCAAATAAAATAAAGTATGAAAATTGATGTATGTGCGCATGTAAAAATATGTAATAATATTGAACAAGGGTTTCTTTTTTTGCTATAACTTTTGAAAGGTATAAATTAGTGTCCCCAAATTTAAAGCATTTTCATAAATGATAATAATGTACGTTGTATCAGAGTTTGAAAGCCCTAGGTCAACTGCCTTGCTTCCTAGTTACTGCCTGAAATTTAGATAATCATGTAAGCTCCAAATAGTTGAATTTCAAACTAACGCGGCCATCATGAAGCTATTGGAAGCCATGCCCTGAAGCTTCTAGTAACAGTCCTAACTCATAAAGCTGCTGTAGCAGTTCTGAACTATTGTAGCAGCTTTTAAGCTTCTGGCAGCCGTCCCGGTGCGTCTGGTAGTCCAGAAACTTCTAGCAGTATCATTCAGCTGTTGATTAAAATCCTTAAGCTTCTAGCATCAGTCTTGAATCTGATGCTTCTGGTGGTAATTTTAAAGGTTTTAGTAGCAGTCTAGAAGAAGCTCCAATTTTTCTAGTAGCATTTTCGAAGCTTTTATAGTAGCTGTCCTGATTTTTCCTGTTCTACCAGAAGATCTATTGGTGAGCTTTTGAAGATTAAAAGAGACCTTGATTTGTTAGAACTACAAAATTTTGATCTGCATTATATTGAAAATTACCTTTTTTCTGGTTTTGTTGGGTATTAAACTAGCTAGCTAGCAAACCGAAAATAAAAGTTTCAATCTATGATCTTAAATTTTGATTTTAACTACAGTCAACTATCCATCTTTTAATCCCTGCAATTTACTAACAAACTTATGTTTTAAAACCGTTGCAAATTAAAGTTGTCTTAAATATTGTTTTATAAACATTTTTCTAGAATGCATAGTTTTTCTTTAGTCGTTTATTAAAGATGTTTTATTATATATGCGCACAGATTATCATAGTGACTTGCACAATTATTACGATTGTGAACATTACACTCTCTGTTAAAACCTTAAATAAATCCCGTAATTTAATTTTTTTTAAAGAGTTTTTGTCAATATATGTTCTTTATTATTTGATGTCAATGAATTAATTGTAAAAATTTAACGTAAGTTATGTTATGATGTCGTAAACGGCTTTTATTTGAAATAAAAAATTAAAAAGCTTAAAAATAATATGGAGGTGCACTTTACTCTATATATTGTGCAAATTTTTTAATTTTTTATAATTATTACTCATTCAATAGTGATTTTTTATTGAACTAAAAAAGAAAAAATTTAATTTCTGTTCTTCAAAGCTAGTTCCTCTTGATAGAGAACTTGTTAATATCAAACAAATAATAAAGGAAGATCTAAGGTAAAAACTTCAAAATTTCGAAAACCAAAAATATTTTTATTTCTTATTAATCCTTCAAATCGTGTAAAATAGTTTCCAAAATAATTAGATATGATATGGTAACTTGGGAAGTGTACAGTTTACACATAAATATAATTTCATGATCCTTATCATCTTTGCAATTTTGCTAGACGAACTAATCAAAGTTTGAAATATCAAAGCTTAACATCATCATGTTGCAAAGATTTANAATTTTGTTCCGTAAAGGCTATGCGGAACCTTTCCTGAAGCTGTTAGGAATGATAAACCTTTTAAAACTTACTAAAAATAAGGGCGAAATCTTTCCTAACGGAGTTTCAAATAAATCTACCCCCTCTAGATAATCATGGAGCTAGGTGTGACAGGCTGAAAAATGGTTACGGGACGATTATTCCACAAGGAATTGATTCGTAATAATCGTCCCGTTAATTTTTTTCACCATATAAAACCTAGCTTTGTGTAGCATCATATAGGCTGTGGATTTATTCATATTTCCGTTCAGAAAGGTTTCCCCCTGAATTTCTGAAAGTTTTTTTAAGGGGTATCTACAATAGGTGGCAACAGAGAAATGGATCAATTATACACGACGTCACAAGTGTCAAATATAACAAGGAAAGCGAAATTTTCTCACGTTAGTTGACATCTGTGTAAAAACAGAAAATAAAGAACACATAAAAATGCACTTATTTTACTGTTATATAATCACTTTATTCTACAATTATCACTATTATTAATAATTATTTTGTCAGACACAATGACTGAGTTGACACTTGTGACGTAAGAATATAGCTGTACCGAGAGTGTACAAATTCTACCTTGCCATCAATTTAATCTATTGTACTAGAATCTATTTAAGGTAGCATTTATATCAGCTTCAGGAAAGGATCTGTATTCCGTGAGGCCTTTACCGATCCAAATTGATCAGGAAATAAATTGGAAACTCTAGATTTAATTTTTTTTAATGAAAATAATCTTAATATTAGCAGTTTTAATTTTAGAAAAAGTCTTTTTCATCTTCAGTGGTAGGCGTTTATATTAATACAATGAAGACGAATTTCCTATTTAAGTTTAGATTTCTACAAAATAACAAGTATACATCTAAACAAATATAAACTGATAATTGACAGCTTCTCTCAGATTCCATGTTTATGTGTATCAAATCCTTGTTTTCTGAATTGCTTGGTAGAAATCAAAATTTCAGTAGAAAGCCGTCTTCAGTGTATTGATATGTACGACTATGACTGTATTATCTTCTGTATTTATATTTCCCTAGGGGTATGCATAGAGAGGCTGGACGGAGAAGGATTTTTAAATGTAAACCTAGCGAAACTTTTCTTCTAGGAATTTCATGAATATATTTTTAGAAAATGGTTTTCCAAATGATCAAATGCAATTTTTTAGTAACTATCCATTTAAAGAGGTATTTAGTTCTCTAATTACGGAAAATATTATTTTAACTTGAATAAAATATTTAATGAAAATAAAATGTAGGATATGTGGAAATAACGTTAATAGTGTCTTTTAACTGCTTGAACAAATTATAAATGAAAAATCAGAAAACCTACCTTTTTGGTCTTTTCTTTGAATAAATTCGAAGGGAATTGTAAGGATATTTAAATAGTGGTACCAAAAGTGATTGTATAATACTTCCAAACCAAAAAATCCATGGTTTGCTAATGTGTACCTCCCCTATACCCAAATATCTAAACAATCCCTTTAACGGAAAATTTATTAAAAAATCACTACAAATACTTTCATGAATTCTTTTCTTAGATGCACTGATGGTAAGGCCGTAAGCCCATTCACTATTTATTTAAAGGGACTGTAAAGGAAAAATGAAAGGGGGTATAGGATGAAACCTGAGAATCTCAGGTTTCATCCTATACCCCCTTTCATGTTTCCTTTACAGTCCCTTTAAGTGGTATTTTTTAAAATTCATGCATGTTACTTTTTATGTTATATTAATAAATTTTACAATATCTCTACGTTAACGGACACACTTAAAAATCTTTGAATATTTTTTTCTCAAAAAGTTTTACGCTCCGTGGCCACTTGTTATGTGTTAAGCTATTATTATCAATGTTATCAAAGCGTTTATGTTTATTTTCAAAAGTTCTAACTTTCTCCATTCTTTCTTCATTGAATGCGTAAGATTTAAAAAAACTCTGAAATTATTGTGTTTTATTAAAAAGCGTTAGTGTTGATTAGATACCAGATTTAATTAATAGCGTTGATGATCTATAGATCAAGTTGAACTAAACTAGTGGTTGAACTAAACCTTGTACCAGATCTCTGTATTTTGGTCCCTAAAAATGTTCAGTATTTAGATTGGCGGCGAGGATGACGGTATGCAGAGTGATGTCCTGCCGCCACCCCTTCCAGAGAGACACCACACTGGGGATCAAAGTAGGGTTTGCAGCAAACGAAACTTTTCGCGAAAAACTGCGAAAATTTTCGTTCGTATTTCGCAAGCTTGCGAAATTTCGAATTATTTCAGGAGAATGAATGAAGCGAATAACGCGAAAAAGAAACGAAATTTCGCGAAAAAATCCCGAAAATTTCGCATTTTTGCGAATTTTTTGTTGTTTTTGATGAATTTTCGCAAAATTTTTGCATTTTTTAAAATTTCAGATTTTTTTAACGAAATGTTCGCATATTTTTCGTGAAATTTTTGCATTTCTTATTTCGCGAAAATTTTGCATTTTTTCGAGAAACAGATTGAAGCGAAATTTCGCGAAACGATTTTTCCTCATCGCTGCAAACCCTAGATCAAAGCGAGCTAGATGCGATCATATTCGAGCTCAAGATGGAATTGGCAGGTATTGAACTAAGTGTATAATGTATATGTTTATCAACAGATTAAGAGAACAAGAATTATATTATTGAATTGAATATGTAAATGTATATATATCTAGAACAAGAGAACAAGATTTATACACTAGAATCCAGCAATAGAAAACTGAAAACATGGAACCAAGAATACCAGGTAATGTGATAAGTAACCTTTGAACCGGAGTATCATGCTAAGTAATTTGTTTGAACCGAAGTATCATGCTGAGTAATTTGTTGAACCGCATTATCATGCAGAGTAATTTGTTTGAACCACAGTAACATGCAGAGTAATTTGTTTGAAGTATCATTCTGAGTAATTTGTTTGAACCACAGTTACATGCAAAGTAATTTGTTTGAACCACAGTTCATGCTGAGTAATTTGTTTGAACCACAGTACCATGCAGAGTAATTTGTTTGAAGTATCATGCTGAGTAATTTGATTGAACCACAGTAACATGCAGAGTAATTTGTTTAAACCGCAGTATCATGCTGAGTAACTTGTTTGAACCACAGTAACATGCAGAGTAATTTGTTTGAACCCCAGTAACATGCTGAGTAATTTGTTTGAACCGCAGTAACATGCAGCGTAATTTGTTTGAACTGCAGTAACATGGTCATCAAGAAACTTAATTGAAACGCAGTAACGTTATGTTTTTGTCAGGAGAAGATTGAGCACAAGAACAAAGATATTCTTCAGATGAAAAATCAATTAGAAATTCAATGTGCAGGTATTAAGTGATTAACATAGTGTTCCGGTTTTTGTTTTGTTTAAGTTCCAGGGTTTCAGAAATTGTTTCATGGTTCAAGTACTGATTTTGGGGTTTGATATTCTTTACAATTTTATGCAGTGTATGCTGTATAATTCAGGTTTCCGGTATTGTTCCTGGGTTCAGTAGTGTTTCAGGTTTCATAACATGATCAGCTTTCAAGTAGTGTTCCAGATTTTAGGTAATGTTTCCGGGTCAAGATAGTGTTCCAGATTTCAGGTGGAGTTCTAGTTTTAAGAAAGCGTTCTAGGTTTCATGTAGTGTTCCAGGTTTCAAGCAGAGTTTCAGGTTTCAAGCAGAGGTTCAGGTTTCAGGTTATGTTTCAGTTTTCAGATCTAAAAATCTAGGTTTAAATATAGATATCTATGTTTCATGTAAGATAGATTGATTTTAGGTAGAGTTCTAGCCTCTAGTTTTAAGATAGCGTTTCAGGTTTAATGTAGTGTTCCAGGTTTCAGCTAAAGTTTCGTGCTTCTGATAGAGTTCTAGGTTTCATGTGGAGTTTCAGGTTTCAGGTTGTGTTCTAGGTTTCAGGTTTCAGGTTTTAGTTCTAGGTTTCATACAGTGCTCCAGGTTTTAGGTAGTGTTCCAGGCTTCATGTAAATGTTCCAGGTTTCATGTAAAGTTCAAGGATTCAGAAGAGTGTCTGAAATAAAGTAAAACATATTTTATCAATTTTTATTTTCAGACAGTTACTCAAGATCAGACACTCTACCCTGTGCTCCGGGAGCACCAGGAGACAAGGGATTAAAGGGAGAGCTAGGGGAACAAGGAACAAAGGGAAGAAGAGGATTCAAGGGGGACACTGGACTCCAGGGATTGAAAGGGGACAATGGGTTCCCAGGAGTCCCGGGGATAAATGGACTTGATGGAACTAAAGGAACCAAATCAAAAAAATATTTGTATGAAAACTATAAACAGAAACATACTAAACTCCAATTAGAGTAAGACCCTTAGAATAAATTTTATGTCTAAAAATGATTGTTATCAGTGTCATTTTTATTGAAATTTTAATAATAACGAGTTTTATGACTTTATCTTTATGCCTATATCTGAATATTAAAGCCTGATGTATGAATCTATTGTCTATTAGTTTTTCTTGTAATAGAAAAAATATATTGATTGATTGATTTAATGGATGAAGGAGAAGCCGGAGATAAAGGAGATCCTGGGGAGAAGGGTCGAACGGGAGATTACGGATTTCCAGGTAAAAAAGCGCAGACAAATCTAAAGATCGTCTTCCAAGATATTTCCTGGTAAACAAGCGTAGACAAATCTAAATATCGTTGTCCTAGATATTTTATATAAATCCTCACAGAAATTGAGTCTTTACCACACAATATGATTTATAATTCCTATATTTATGCAACCCAATGGCGTAAACCTTAGATATGTCAAACTAATGCATTCTATTAGATCCAATAATCTAAGTTTACACCCTCAGATTTTAAAAGTATAGAGATTAGAAAATTTGAGTTTGTGGCAAAGACTCAATTTCTTTTTAGGAATACAGGGTTTGCGAGGAGAGACTGGAGCTGCAGGGTTTCCTGGTAGTAAAGGGGAGAAAGGAGACCCTGGACTCCCAGGTTTACAGGGTCCCCAGGGAGCTATAGGAACAGAAATATGCAAAAATATGATAATTATGCATAGTGAGAACCAGAAAACTCTGGAATAAGAAGACGACGTAGGGACTCAAGTTATGAGACACAGCCATTGTTTAGTGTAAACAGGCTCAATTAACTTGATAAATGATATCGGTATAATGTCGTCTTCCTAATTCACAGTTTTTAGCTTTCACTGTAACTAAAGACGATAATTTTATGAAGAGTTAGTAAATATGGGAATCAAGACATGGTAGCATTTAGTTTTTGATTTTCAATCACAAATGATTTTTAGTCACAAAACTGACATATTTTTTTTATTTTTTGAAGAAAATACAACTACCAAACGACGAATCTTCTTGATATTGGTGATACATGATGAATCATAAAAAGTTAATCAAGTTTATGATTTTTCCAGAACTGAAATATTTAGACAATTTTGAATTTTGATATATCTTATCTAATCATTTGAGACAAAGGAATTGAATCTTTGTCACACACCATGATTTTTGATTCCCAATGTTGCAGACCTCAGATATTGCAAACTTTGAATTCTTATAGATCAAGTAATTTGATTGTGTAATATAAAAGGTTTACTTATATAAAGGAAGAAAATAAGAGGTTATGACAAAGGCTTAATTTATTTTTTGATATTCCCGTCAATTTTTAGATGGGTGCCCAAAAAATAGAGTGTATATTTTAAATTATACAAAGCATGGTTAAATATTGGTGACACTAAATGTAGTGAAAATTTAAGTCTTTGGTAAAGTCACTCTTGGACTGTAAATACAGTTTGTGTTCAATCCTATTTCCTTTTATAGTCAGAACAATTGTGTAACATGATTTTTCTAAATAAACATAAAACAATAAATAAAGGAATGCAAGCTATAAAGTTGGAAAGCTGTAATAGAAAATCATCGTTCATCGCATTGATATTTAAATTTCCGTACGCGCGCTCCGAATTTGCGTACGCGCGCTTATTATCGTTTGCAATTTTTTCTCACAATTACAAAATTTAAAATAAAGCTATCCTTTGAACTGTATTTGAAAAAATAAAAACATCTTTTTTTATGAAACAATAATCACAGAATAGCCCTAATCCGGCCATTTGCAAAATACCAGAGATATTAAGATTTGAATTCAATTTATCAATTAAAACTATGGAAATGTCTCATTCCTATCTCGTGTTAATTTGAAAGCACAAAAATGGCAGACCAAATTTTGGAAACGGCATGGTTAGCAATATTCTGGGCTTTTTGTTTCATAAAAAATATTGCTAAAACCAGGCTACATATGTTGAATGTTTCAATGTTTCTAATTAAAAAGAAAATGAAGATTGAAAAAGATATAAAACATGGCGTCGTTTCCTAAAAAATAGTGTTGTTAGATCTAAAGTTAGTTGAAAGAGAAAGTAATTTAACTATGTTTAACATCTTCCTAATTGCATGAAGAACTTGTTTGAATTAACAGAATGTTTAAATTACATTAAGTATATTCTGTCACAGGGACTGAAGGGCCCCCAGGCTCAAAAGGTGAAATAGGACCTCCAGGACCCCCGGGTAAAATATTTAAGGGTTTAAAATTAACCGGTTTTCTAAAAGCAATTTATTTTTTTCTGTCAAGATCGGTAAGAAACTTACCGAACTGTTCATCTTTAAAAACCTTTAAAATAAAATAAAAATGTTTAAGCTATAACATCATTTTTGAATATCAAAGAAACATATTAAGCAGTGTAACATGAAGAATTTATATTAGTAATCTCTAATTCTACAATTCATCTTTTATTTGCATTGTAATATTTCCTATGTTATCCTTTGAAGCATGTAAATCCTAGGTCCTGAGGGTTTAGAGGGTAGACCAGGTAGAGATGGATTCCCGGGTAAACCAGGCTTAGCTGGACCTCAGGGTATACAGGTATACAGGCATACAGGTATACGAGGTATACAGGTATACAGGTATACAGGTATACAGGTATACAGGTATACAGGCATACCGGTATACAGGTATACATGTATACAGGTATACAGGTATACAGGTATACAGGTATACAGGTATACAGGTATACAGGCATACAGGTATACAGTCATACAGGTATACAGGTATATAGGTATACAGGTATACAGGTTTACAGGTATACAGGTATACAGGTATACAGGTATACAGGTATACAGGTATACAGGTATACAAGTATACAGGTATACAGGTATACAGGTATACAGGTATACAGATATACATATTGATGTTTTAATGATGTATCATCTGTAACTGATGATTTCAGGGAGTAAGAGGGCAGATGGGACCTAAAGGGGAACCAGGAGCATACGGAACCTCTGGAAAACCTGGAGAGAGAGGTCTTCCAGGGGAGAAAGGACCCCCAGGTTGGCAGGGACGTCAAGGATCTCCTGGATACACAGGAGATGCTGGTCCCAGGGGCCTGAAAGGTGACCAGGGAGAGTCTGGACTGGATGGTGGACCTGGTCCCGAGGGACCCATGGGTCCTCCAGGAGATAAAGGAGAGCCTGGAGCTACAGGAACTAATGGAAGACCTGGAAGACGGGGTAGGATGGGTAGAAGAGGGTCTCCAGGTCTGGATGGTCCTCCAGGTTTGCCTGGCTCACCTGGGGAACCTGGACCTCAGGGTATAAATGGACCACAAGGAGAACCTGGACCTTCTGGTCCCCAGGGATTAAATGGTGCACCTGGACCGGCAGGTTAAATATTAAACTGAATTGTTTGAAAATTATCGGCTTAGAACCTATCTCCGAATATTTAATTAAACTTTGCAATGTTTGCCCCCTGGATCATCCCTTAACTGTTTTCAATTATAGAGATAGCTTAAAGGGACAGAACGGCTATGTAAGGGATTATGGACATCCAACAAAAAGTTCCCAGCTGTTGACTAACTTAAAAATAATTAATATCTATAGGTGAGGTGGGTTCCCCTGGTAAACCTGGTTCTCCTGGTTCCCCTGGATACCTAGGCAGGATTTATACATTTTTATCTTAAAATCTCTTTTTTATTTACAGTGTTACGCAAAAAGTATGAGACTTCAGAGATTATTCTGATAATTGTTTTCAAACTTATTTTTTAAATTCAAACTTCGCTCTTTTCTATTCCGGGCCATGTTTTTAACGTTTAAGATATTAGTAGTTAGTGATCAAGCTAAGAAACCCAGCTTTGCCTGAAAATTAAACTTTCTCTAAAAAACTTAAAATTTTAAAACCAAGCTAATTTTGTTTGGTTGATCTAACGAGTTCCCCCAAAATTAAGACAAATCGGTCCTGGGATTAATGAGTTATGTATATATAGTATTTGAAAGTTTTTTAAAGTTTAAATATACATTTTTGATGCATAGATATATATTTTCCATGTATTTAGATGTATATATGTATGTATATATATAGATTCCACACGCGATTTGTCCCTGACCGTTCTATTAAAAAAAGTTATTTAAGTGAGACATTAAAATAGCTTAATTTTTATTTTCAACTTTTTTCTGTTTCTCTTTACATATAATGGAGTTGACCTTTTATATATTTCTCACTTTCCACTCTCTTTTATCTTCCTTTTTCTTTCATTTCTTTCTTATTAACGTTGTTCTGTTATCTTCTTTCTTTTTCCCCTTATTCTTCCATCATTAGCCTATACCTATTATCTGAGGACGGGTATAAATTGTTAGTTCAGTTTGTATATTGGAAAATAGAGAATATTTGTTGAGCTAATAGAGGATTAGTAACTAAGGTAAATCCCCCCCCCCCCATTTAATGCCGAATTGGAACCTCTTCTTTTACCCTCACCTACATATACACTTGCGTACTTACCACTGCTGAGCCAGTGGGAATAAATAGATAGATAGCAGATAACAAGTGATATTTAAATATATATGATACCTATCTCTATGATTGAACTCAATTTTACATACGAACTCTATGTATCTTATTACCTCTATTGTTGAGTTGGAAGAAGACAAGGTTATGATGCAAGGATAGTTAATTGCAGTTGCGTATACTCTGCGTACATATTGAAACCAGTTCTCTCTGTGCGGAATTTGTAAACAAGAATAGATGCATCAGTATTCGTTTAGTATCCGAGTAGGTTAAAAGCATTAAATTTTGATAATTTTGATCATTCACGTAATAGTTTCCTATGACCAGAATATTTTATTGATTTTTTTATGCGAAAGATGAATCCCATGTCTGGCTTGGACATCTGTCTTGTGTTTACATTACCGCCCAGAGACAGTACACTGCAGTACAAAATTTGCGTACACCTGTGAAATAACTCTCCTTGCATTATAACCTTGGAAGAAGATAAATCCTCGAACTATCAGGGACCACTGGAGAGAAGGGGTTCAGGGGCAGACGAGGCAGAAAGGGGGAAGAGGGGGCTAGGGGCACACCAGGATTCATGGGGGTCAAGGGGGATATGGGAGAGAAAGGAGAAATGGGATTACCTGGAGAAACTGGACTTCCAGGAGTTAAAGGTGCTCCGGTGAGGGTTTAAAACTATTACATAAAGGGACTGTAGTAAAATTTTAACGAGGAAGATTTTGATATTTTTTAACATGAAAAGTATTTAAGTCAAACAATTTACTCTATTGATAAAAAGATGTAAGCGTACTGCTGTGAATCGGACGGAATAAATAATACATTTTATTCTTGATGTTCAGGGACCTACAGGATTTGAGGGACCAAGAGGTTTTCCAGGTCCTGAAGGTTTACCTGGATTTGAGGGACCCCCAGGGGAGAAGGGTGTCCCTGGTAGAGAAGGTCCTAAAGGAGAGAAGGGGGGTGTAGGTCCAATTGGTCTCCCCTGTGGAAGTGTGCAAGCGGATACACCTGTAATGTTTCATGATGAACCAAGGTTAGGATTTTAAATTTAGATTTTGGCAAAAATTCTATTTTATAATTTTAACAAATTATCGGACAATTGAATAAAAATATAAATTCATGAATAACGGTTAAGATTTATTCAAACAAAATAACAAAACTAATTTTATTGAAATTCATTTTTGTAAAACAAGATATATAGTATTTTCTAGTTTCTATTGTTTACAAAATATCTGCAACACAACGGGGGTTGTGTCTTTTGTTTTTGTTTATGAGGTACTGCAGAATTCTATGTAAATATATCAAACTAGTTAAAACTATGAGATAAAAAGCATAAATTCTGGGATCAAAACCTTATTGGCTGTAGGGTGTCCCAATAAACATGGGAATTATGTAACGAGATAAAGATCGTCTTTGCAAATGATTTAGTAAATTGGAAATACCTATTTGGAAAGCTGCAATCCTAGAATGCTTCGTGCATACTAGAATTTTAAGTTGTTTATTTTTTATTGCTATGCAGAATATCTAGCAGACATGATAATTTCACGTCTTTTAGAATTTTAATTTTTAACAAAGACGATGTAGAAGTCGTCACTCAATTTCTTTATGTAATTATGATACTCTGTATCACCCTTTTTAAGGACACTCTGTATATAAGGATAACATGATATGTATAAAATTTATTTAATATTGTGGTTCACTTAGGGGGGGGGGTCTATGGGGGCTTAGCCTCTCTCCCCTGGATCAAACAAATCTATGATTTTCAAGGGGTTTTCAGCCCCCCCCCCCTCAACAAATTTCTGAAAAGGCCTCCGTTTACTGCTTTATTATATATTTTATATATTCTAGGATAAACTTGAGTATGCTGTACGAGGATATATTGAGGATTGAACAACTGATCTCTTCCTGTAAACTAAACTAAACTAAACTAAACTAAACTAAACTAAACTAAACTAAACTAAACTAAACTAAACTAAACTAAACTAAACTAAACTAAACTAAACCAAACCAAACCAAACCAAACCAAACAAAACTAAACAAAAGCTAAACAAAATTAAATGAACCCGTTAAAGAAAATAAAGTTTTATCATATTTTCACTGTATATTGTTATTATTCTTAAAGTTTATAGAGAAAAGTCACCAAAAAGGAAATTTGTTATGAAAATATTTTGAAAATGATTTTGTACTTTCATCTTGAGGTTATGCACTGGGAAGCATGAATTAATGGAACTGGGAGTCCAATTTTCTTCCTGATGAGTTGTATCAGGGTTGTAGAAAGAACATAATTTTATCTTATTGACCTAAATATTTCAACCCAAAGTTTAAACTTGTATTTACAGTTAGAAAAACTTTTCAAACAATCAAGGTTTGTGTCCGCCTGAGATAATGCACGTAGAACCAGATTACAGATTTGACTAGAGATTATAAAGATAGGACCAGAGATTACTTAGAAAGGACCAGAGATTATCCAGATAGGACCAGATATCACAGATTTTTGACTAGAGATTATACAGAAAGATTACGCAGATATAATGAGATATTACACAGACAGTAAGAGGTATTACACAGATAGAACGAGATATTATATAGATAGGACCAGAGATTACAGATAGGACTAAAGATTACACAGTTAGTAACAGAGATTATAGAGATAGAATCAGTGATTTTACAGATAGGACCAGAGATTAAACAAATAGGACCGGATTACACAGATAGTACCACAGATTACATAAATAGGACCAAAGATTACAAAGATAGGACCAAAGATTATATATATGACCCAGAGAGAGGTTATACAGATAGGACCAGATAGTAAGTAGGCCATTTTCTGCCAAATATAGAGAGGATTTTTTACATTTTGCCTACAAATATAGAGAGGATTTTTTACATTTAGCCTACAAATATAGAGAGGATTTTTTACATTTAGCCTACAAATATAGAGAGGATTTTTTACATTTAGCCTACAAATATAGAGAGGATTTTTTACATTTAGCCTACAAATTCCAACTAAATGAAAGAAGTAAACGAAAATAGATTGACGTAAATTAATATCTAAAACCTGAAATTATTGTAAGAGATATATCTGAACTGAAATGATGGAATGTTTCGACAGTTAATTACAAAGTACGCGTAATTTTCATATCCTTTAGATACAACTAAACTGCGCATCTGCTATTCAGTTCATTGGATTTAAATTAGGCCAATTGTTCGAGCAGCCAAGCAACGTCAAGATCTAAGATATGATGAACAACTGGGGAAGGGTTGAATTTCGGCATCATTTACAAAAATATTCAAATTCTACAATTTTTTTTCGACCCAAATCATAGAATTTATCATGGAGAAACAAAGAGGCTCAAGTCTCAACTGTGGTACAGTTAGATATTTGTTTGTTGTGGCATAAAAAATTAAATACTAAATGTTTGAAACTTTATTAAAAGAAATATGTTATTTTACGATTACTATTTAAATCAATGAACATTTCCTTTTTATCTCTTTGGGGGATAGATAAAATCGGGTTTTAAGCTTGGCATCATTCTATTTATAAATATTTACAAACAGGGTGGCTATTTTTCCCTGATAAGATTGTTAAAAGATCAAGAAAGTTCTCGATTCTACTGCAATATAGTGGGAGGCAATTTTATGTTCAACACATATTTGCATAACTACTAGTTGAAGGGAGGCGAAAAATGATAAATTTCGGCCAGGATTTTTTATTTTCCGATTTTTTGAGACTTTTTAAACATTCTTTTCAACCCTTTTTTAAATATCAATTAAAGTAGAAGAGAGAAGTCCAAGAAATAAAATTTAAATTTAAAATGATAAAACCAGTGAACAGTTGAATACCCAGGATAAAGTTGAGTGAAGTACATTTACTTCCATTCAATTTAGTATTCAATCATGATTCTAATTGACGGGATCAAATAAAGTTTTGATTAATAAAAGCTTTCATGTGGAGTAGAACTTAAAACTGGGAGGAAAATTAGGATTAAACCAACAGTAATAGGACTAGGACTAGGACCATAGTATTAGAGATAGGACTTTATTACCAGACTAAATCCAAGACTTGTAGGACCATATAGTATCAGGACTAATTCTGGGACTTCAGTGCTAGTCTAGAAGAATGACTTTAGGAATAGAACCAAAACCATATTATTTGGCCTAGCATTAAGACCATAGGACTAGGAGTAGAACCGGAATTAGTACAAGGACTATATATTTAGTATTAGGACTAGGACTAAGACCATGATTTTTGGACCAGGACTAGGACCTAACTATTCACTAGGTACTACTGGAATAGGACAAAGATCTTAGTATTTGGAATCCAACTAGAAACATAGTTACTAGACTAGAACAAGAATTAAGACAAAGACCAAAGTATTTGGAATATGACTAGGAACATAGTTAGACTGGTCTTGGACAAGGTCCAAGAGGATCACAGTCACAATCAACTAGACTGCAAGAGAAGGTCAAAATTATTCAAAATACTGCAATGAATTTGTGATCTCGTAGCTCCCATAATTTTGATTGTACTCCCAAGTTGGCCAAAAGTAATTTATGCATTATAACATACTAGAAATTCAGAACAATTGTGTTCTTCTCAATAGCTGTTAGATAAGAGGAGTTATGATTAAAAACATGTAGGATTTGTTTTAATCTAAGGCGTATGCGTGACTATGCAGAAGTGGAGCATTGCACTGTTGCTATGACCAGTATTAAAAATAGAACTATAGACTAAGTCTTGAACTAGAACAGTGATATTTTAGGACTAGAATTAGGATTAAGAATTTGGACTAGGATTATTGTACTATAGGCTAGGACTTTGAACAGCAGTATTGTAGAATTAGAGCTAATAACAGGATTAGGTCCAAAGTACTAAGTCAAGGATTAGGAAAAGGATTAAGGTAAACAGAAGGAAGACAGGAAAATTCATGAATGGAAGAATCTTTCAAGAACAAATTGGAAAATAATAGGTTTGGGAATTCGATTATTTCTGAAAGAGAAAATTTGGTTTTCACATGTCTGGGAGTTTGGAATAAGGTTTTATCCAAAACGACAATATTCTATTTATTCCATAATTTCATCTTGTAGAGGATCGTCTTCCGATTCATGAAACCAAACCAAATCATTTTCTGTAATACATGTTACATAGTTATATTTGTACTTTTGGAATTCATACAGTACGTTTTCTGTTTCTATCAAATTTAGAGTCCAAAATTTATATATAAAGTAATAATCTGTCATTGTCTGTTTTTATGGCCAATCATAACTCATAAACCGATTTGGGGAACGAACCACAGAAATTCGGAGCTTGGTTTAATAATTTCAAGTTCAGTTATTTGACTATTATATAGAAATTTTATTTTTCAAGCAACGCTGGGTTCAACAATTAATCTTTTGCAGCTCTTCGCTTATATATATATATTTATATGTTTGCTATAGCTGGATAAACGGTTGGACCAAATTGGCTAAACATTTTTGAGGGAACCGATCTTTGAAAATTTAAAAAATGTTGAACATTTTTTAAACTCCACGGGCAACGCCGGGCCATTCAGCTAACATCAAAAATTAATACCAAGGGCGGGTAAACGGCGGTAGAAACTATGACTGAAAGTGTAAATAATGTAAAACCATGAGCAAGGCCGGGAGCTTCGCTAGTTTTTAATAAAGTTAAAAATCCCACATGTGAGATTTACCATAGTTTCTGATGCATCCAAACTTAGTAAATTAAGAAACAGAATCATATATTTATTAAAAACGTGACATGGATACGTATAACACAATTAATGCACATCTAGACATAATTACATTTATAATTCATGATAAGTTCGTTCTTATCAAACCATATTGTATCCGTGAAACGGGTATTTTTCTATTATATAAAGTTAGTTCATGATTATTTATCTTTATTTCTGTTTTGTTGTTATTGTTTATATTTTGTGAAGTTAAAAGAGAAAGTCTTTTTCTGTACTAACTTATTAAAACATGTTTGATGACATGGGTTTAATGGTGTTTCTTCCTTGCTTAACTGTGATCTTAAAAGATTTAGTTATCAGAGATATCCATGTTTTCCTACTCTAGAATAAAACAAATAGTAATAATTTTTTCCCCAGTATTTTCTTTATAAATCTACTTACAGTTGCTTTTTAACAGATTTAACTGGAGCAAGATACTCCTACAAGATTTAAAGGCTACCAGGAATCAAAGACGGATGGCCTAAACAGTCCCTTTAAGTTTGATTTGAAACTAAACAAACCATGTTTAAACTAATCCTGCTCAACAATGAACAATGAACAAAAGATAAGCAAATCTCATCAAGTGCAGTTGTATCTGTTTATACTAAAGTACATATATCGAATCTTAAAGGGATTGTAAGCGTAATTTCAAGTGACTCTTTATGCATAAATGGCAATGCCAGATTTACAACGGTACCCTTGCAACCATTACCAAATCAAAAATATGGAAGATATTCTAGTTCTTCTAGGTTTTAAAGTGTTTTTATAATGATTCCTATGTGTTTTTATGTAGTAGAAATGCGCAAGTCACTTTTGTAGAGAAACCACAATTGAAAATAATGAGTTTTCAAAATATAATCATTACTATGTCAGTCTTGAGACAAAGCTGTTCAAGGGTACCGTTGTGAATCGGGCATTGTCATCTTTAGATGAAGGGTTGCACTTGAAATTACGCTTCATTTAACACAGGAACTTATCATACCCATTCTGCAACAGAATCTATTAGAAAACATAAAAATAAAAATATTGTTATCTCAAAAAGATATTATTTTATTGTTTATTTATTCCATGCTATGTAAACCTTAAACACCTCATGTTGCATCATTGTAAACTGTAAACTGTACAACATGGCTCCCCGAAAAGACAAAGACGACTTTAGAATAGTATTTTTGAATATCTATTTCTTAAACTAACTTTTTTTTTAACTTAACACTTTAATAATCTACAATCAAAGTGAAAGACACTCTTCTTGATGAAATTTAAAGAAAAACTGTCAAATTTTTATTTTGCCAGTTTAAGAGTGAATTTTGCATAATTTCTGTAAACTTGTTTTCAAAATCGCAATCATTCATTTAACCGTGAATTGATACATTTTTTTTGCATTCAGTCATTTTGTTATTTTTTTTCTTCCAATTTGGACAGTTCGCTTAATTTTTACAGTTTTTCTAGTGGTTGTCCAATTTGTCTAATTGGTCCAATTTGTCCAATTTGTCCAATTGGTCCAATTTGTCCAGTTTGTCAAGTTTGTCCAATTTGTCAAGTTTGTCCAATTTGTCAATTTTGTCCAATTTGTCAAGTTTGTTTAATTTGTCCAATTTGTCCAGTTTGTCTAGAACCGCTTGAAGGGTTTGATGAAGTTTGACAAGAATATCAGGGTCCTTATTCCTGCAACCACCTACAGATGTTGCATCAAGGCCTGGGATTGGCTGCAAAGAGTTTAAACTTTCCTCTTTATCTTGAACATGAACCTGCTCCGGACCTTGAACCTGAACCTGATCCCCGACGAATTGATGAACCTTGACCTGAACCTGATCTTGTTCCTGATCAAGTTCCGGGAAAAAGGATTCGAACTGTCCTGGCAGGTTCAGGTTTGAAAAATCAGGAACAAAGTTTGAAGAGATTTTCGTAGATTTTTCTTCCACGGTTGTTCGAAATGTAGATTGCTGAACTGTAACTGGGGGTAAAATGTTGGCAGATTCATGAACTATATGGTTTGAAGAAATATTGGTAGATGGCTGAACTGGAGAGTTATAAAGAAGATGGTTAGGTGCCGCAATCAATTCTTTATCTTGTTTGCTCTCCATCTTTTCTTGTTTGTTTATACTCCATGTTTCAGGATTTCCTATACAAATATAAACAAATATTTAGATAAACTTCTAATTAACAAACAATCAAATATGTGATTAAATTTATTTTTCAAACAATTAATCGAAACAATTAAAGAAACTTAACAATATAATTTTAAAATCGTAAAATTATTTTGTCATAATTGTTTAAATCTTCAGTACTCTAAACTTTGACTTTTTTGTCTATCTATTACATCTGACTGTAAAGGTTTGGATCAGAAAATTAAAAGTATGAAAAAAATAATAATTTTATTTATTTTTATCCGATTTGCATTTTAAAAAATTTCAATAAAGCCTGTAGTATTGAATACAATATCCTTATATCCAAGTATATACTTGTAGCATTGAATACAGCATCCTTATATCCAAGTATATACCTGTAGCATTGAATACAGTATCCTTATATCCAAGTGTATACCTGTAGCATTAAATACAGCATCCTGATATCCAAATATATACCTGTAGCATTGAATACAGCATCCTGATATCCAAGTATATACATGTAGCATTGAATACAGCATCCTGATATCCAAGTATATACCTGTAGCATTGAATACAGCATCCTGATATCCAAGTATATTTGCTGCTCTGCAGGTTATTATGCTGCTACTAATCTAAACAAACAATAATGAGACATATCTCACCAATAATAATGAAAACAAAACAAACAGACTGAAAATGGATTTGAATAATTAGGTTTATGTAACCTTGGAATTTCCTAAGCTTATTTATAATTCATGGAACCATCATACTAGGTAGAACTCAACATAACCTCATCAATTCATACATACTATACACATACTAGGTAGAACTCAACATAAACTCATCAATACATACATATTTATACATGTTAGCTTGGGTACCAAGCTTTGCATGTAAACTAATTTTTCCCCAGAAAAGACAATTTAATAACTCCAGGAATTGACCAAACCATTAATATTCCCTTGGTTCTACCGAGTTCACCAATCATTTTTTAACAATTTTTTTTTATTTGAAAAGGTCTGTTTAAAAGATAATTACAAACTTGTTCAAAACTATTTTATTAGTATTACAGTATTTCAATTTTTCCCACTTTGGGATTCTCTGGGCCCAGAGACCCTTCCCGCCAAGTGGGGGGGGGGGGGGATTCCAGTACCCTGAAAACCCCAAGTGTGAAACAGCACCCCAACATTCATTTTTAATATTTTCAAAATAATTGGTATTAGAAATATTCTGAACATTCTTCTTATCTATTCATTGTTCAGAATTTTGCTAATCTCTGCTTCTTTTTTAATCTTGTCTGATATTTCTGGTTTGCTGCAAGGAAGTTTGGCTAATTACATGTTTCTAAATTTAGTATCTCAGCTGCTACTGACCCCAAACAATCATGAAATAAAACCCCTTGTAAGCTTTCTAGAATTTGATATTTGATATCTCAGCAATCTCAGCAGTTTTGTAGATTGTTGAATGATGACTAAACTAAATATAGATCTTTACACAATTTATGTGTATGTTTCCTAGTTCTGTTGCAGAGCGTGGAAAAAAAGAATACTGCACTAAACGTGAAATTTTGAAAATTTGTAGGACTTTATTCTTTCCTAAAATTCAACCTGGACCACTTTATTCTATCCTGAACCTAATCCTGGACACTGATCTCTTCATTCTATCCTGAACCTGGATCCCTTTATTCTATCCTGAACCTGAACCTGGACCTTTTTATTTTATCCTGAACCTTAACCTGAACCTGAACCACCTTATTCTATCCTGAACCTGAACCTGGACCACTTCATTCTACTCTGAACCTGAACTGGACCACTCTATTCTATCTTGTACCTGAACCTGGACCACTTCATTCTACTCTGATATCTTGTACCTGAACCTGGACCACTTCATTCTACTCTGAACCTGAACCTAGACCACCCTATTCTATCTGGCTTTGATTTTAGACCACCTTCTTTTATCTGGACTGTGGTTTCTAATTTTCCATCTTCCATTTAGTAAATATTGTTTATGTATACTTGCAGACTTAAATTTACTTTTGTACATGAATCTTTTTTGTAATAACAATCTGTTTATTTGCAACTCAAACAAAGTTTAGAAGCAAATTTCACAAATGAATTAATATCATAAAAATATCAATAAAATTGTTTGCATTGGATAAAATTAAGATTTCATTGTAACCGAAACTAATTGCAATCTAATTCGTATTTTTCATTTGCTGACATTGACGGGTAAAGAAATCAATCAATGTGTTTAATGTATTTTCTTCTGCCTCGTAGTTTTTGTTTCCCTCGTATTATATTTTGTTTCCCTCGTATTATATTTTGTTTCCCTCGTATTATATTCCAAAAAGTTATGTTTGCTAAACTTAAAACGTACCCTTTAGTTAAATTTACAGTAATAATATTTTCAGAAAAAAAATATATTAATATTTTTCTCATGAGTGTAGGTTATACTTAAAAACTCGCTAACCAGACCTGTTTTTAAATTGTGCAAGTCGAGCTTTCCCATTGTAAGCCTCGAGTTTGCCAATCATTATTTGAGGCAAATCGGCCAAGGGGTTTCTTAATTATAATTGAACAGAGCTGAAAACTTTAGAATGGGATATCCTTAATCCCGATCGGTTAATTAATCTGGAGATTAATAACAAGTGGAGAACAAGCATTATTTAATCTCGAGATTAAGAAAAAGAGTGGATCAAGCCTTAATCCCGACATCCACCATTCAAAAGTTCCCAGCTCGGATAAGTATATGTTCTGAATCAAGAGTGTAACTTTAAAAAATATTCATCCCTGAAATTTTGAGGATTTTTGATAATGAAGATGACATTTTCATATCTCCTGGAATGTTAAAAAATCCAGCACCAGTTGCAAGAACAAGTTTTAAACTTAATATTAGTTTTAAAACAGCTCTAAAAATAATATTAAGAAATATCAAATACACACAAATACATCGAATTGAATTCCACAATTGTAGGTTGTAATAACTGAATGAGTAGTTTTGAATTAAATTGAATTTTTTCAGATCCGAGTGGAATAATGCGACTCCGTGAATTTGCATGGGCCCTACGCTCTTCAGTATGAATCGTTATTAACCATTTTCTCCATGTATATGTAAAAGTGAAATTAGTAGCGATCAATATCGAATTCAATTATATATCAGCCTAACACCCTTTAATTTTTCACGAACACTCCCTTTAAGTTAAAGGTGCGTCATAACTCATGAACCCTGGATCTATTTGCTTAAAATTTTCATTAAGAAACTCTATAGAACCATGGGGAAATTCCAAACATAGTAGATTGACGAACAAATGAAAATTTAAGTTTCCAGACAAAGCTGGATTTCGAGCCTAGTTGATTAAGATAGGTGTAGAATCATCTGAACTCCCACACAATCAAAATTTGGGAACAGTCTTTTAAAGGTAGTGTTCGCGAATAATGAAAGGGGGCATAGGCTAACGTCGAATTGAATTTGATGGTTATCCCTTCTAATCTCACTTCCATTTGTTGTGTTTATAAGGAGTTTGCTTTCGATTTATTTTTCGCGAACACTCCTCTTAAATAAAAGTTTGCTTTGAATATAAGACTGTAAACTGTAAAGAAGATTTCTGGCTTACCAGATATGTTTGTCCAGAGGTTTAAAGGCAAAAGTTGTAATTTATTTCCCTATAGTCTACTGTTTGCCCGTGCATATGTTTGTTTGTGCAGAGGAGCATCACAGAAATTCTTGAAATGTTTAATAACCTGGTATTGTGTCCTTCTAACCAACCCTTTACTATATTCTTAAATTAGCACACACCACCATACACACCCCCACACACCCTCAAATATAGTACACAGCAGGATTTGCATGTACATTGTACGGAAAGGAAGGGAAGGAATTAAGGAATGAAGAAATGAATGAAGGAAGGCAGGAAGGAAACAGGAAGGAAGAAAGGAAGGAAGGAAGAATAGAAGGAAGGAAGAAAGGAAGGAAGGAAGAATAGAAGGAAGGAAGAAAGGAAGGAAGGAAGAAAGGAAGTATAGGTGGAAGGAAGGAAGGAAGGAAGGAAGGAAGGAAGGAAGGAAGGAAGGAAGGAAGGAAAGAAGGAAGGAAAGATTAAAGTAAATATGTACTAGACAAGTTTAAACATACGTAAACAATAAATACCAATAGACAAGACAAACAGAGTGGAATACTTCATGCATCCTTCTATTTGAATTAACTTTGATATTTCCTGTTCCATCCTGTTCATTTTCGATACTTCCTGTTCTTTCTTCTATCCTCTAATGCATCATTATTTCTTTTCAATTCTGTTCAACTTTGAAAAATACTGTTCCCTTTTAATTCTCATCATATATCCCTTTCAATTTTAATAAATCCTAAAAGTCTATTTTTTTTTAAATTTAAAAATAACAAACCTTTGAAATATCCTTGATCAGCAGAACCTCTTTTCCTCGACTGTATTTTTATAATCAAACCTTTATCTTTATATAAATAAAATTGGTGTATATACAGGGTTACCCACAAAGGATGAGACTTCAGAGACGATTGTATACAATTTATATTCACGATTCCCTGCAACTAATAACTTGGTTTCTCAATGCAAAATCATTAAATAAGCCATTAAAAGACGACATTCAAGGCATGTAGACTAAACTCGACATTGGAATTGTCACATTTCCAGGTCGTCTTTACGATCTTATTCGTTGTGGACCGTTGCTCTTTACAAGGATCAAAATAAGCTATGGATTAGTTCTTGAAAAATAAACAATCAAATTATAAATGTAAAGTTTGACCCGCCGCACAAGAGAATTGGTTCAGGTTCAGGAAAAAAATATTTTGTATTCCGTCTGGTTCGAAAATCATATGAAAACAAAAAAAGACCAAAATGACGGGAGTTGAAAAATTACTTAGAATTTTTTCCCTTTTTGCCCTAGTTAATCATTCAGCCAGAGAATATTTAATTTTTGAATCATAAATTAAGAGTTTATTTACATTGAGATTATTTATATTTAGTTTAAAAGTTCAAGAACTAGATTTAGTTAATAAAAGCTAGTCTCAGAGCACAAGAGAAGTTGTTCAACGTAAGGTATCTGCGATTAAACCACTTCTCCCAACTACAGAGTGTCCCACGAAACAGGACAGTTGGTGATAAGTTTAAAATGTCTTCTTCCGTAATTAGTTAAGTTGTTTGATATTAAAGAGAATGATGAAAAATATTGCATTTCAATTATATTATTGTAAAATTGATTTCAACGTAAAATATATTTGAGAAAAAGATGTTTTTAACGATATGACATACAAAAAGGCTTTAATATCCAATATAATGTATGGAAGAAGACAACATGTTTCGTGAGACACCCTGTATTTAATCTGGTATTGCGTAGATTTTGGTTTGACAATCATTCTTAGATAAAAAATGCAAATTCTAGGAGGTCGAAGAGATTATAAAATATTGTTCCTGATCGATAGATCGATATTATTATCTGATCTTAATTCATCCAAACCAAACCATTCTACTCTAGGTATAGGAGAACCCTAGAATATATTATTCATTAATTCATCCAAACCAAACCATTCTACTCTAGGTATAGGAGATCCCTAGAATATACTATATATTAATTCATCCAAACCAAACCATTCTACTCTAGGTATAGGAGAACCCTAGAATATATTATTCATTAATTCATCCAAACCAAACCATTCAACTCTAGGTATAGGAGTTCATTAGAATATATTATTCATTTGTTCATCCAAACCAAACCATTCAACTTGAGGTATAAGAGAACCCTAGTATATGTTATTAATTAATTTATCCAAACCAAACCATTTTACTCGAGGTACCCTAGAATATGTTATTAATTAATTCATCCAAACCAAACCATTCAACTCGAGGTATTGGAGATCCCTAGAATATATTATTCATTAATTTTATAATATATCTTATCTAACTATTTATTTCATTGCTTAGTTTTCCTTTATTATAATATTAATTTCATTCTAATAATTTTTATTTCATTATTCCATAGATTTCATTCATTATTTTGTCAATTTTTACTTAAAATTAAGAACCTGAATTCTACAAAGTATTTCCAACTGAGTTCTGTTCTTTTGGTGAATATAATCAACCTCAATATCAACCTCTGCTCCATCTAAATATTGAATAAACTCAACCTCAATATCAACCTCTGCTCCGTCTAAATATTGAATATAATCAACTCAATATGAACCTCTTCACCATCTAAATATTGAATAGAATCAACCTCAATTTGAACCTCTGTTCCATCTAAATATTGAATATAATTGACCTCAATATGAACCTCTGCACCATCTAAATATTGAATATAATCAACCTCAATTTGAACCTCTGTTCCATCTAAATATTGAATAGAATCAACCTCAATATGAACCTCTGCTCCATATCAATATTGAATATAATCAACCTCAATATGAACCTCTGCACCATCTAAATATTAAATAAACTCAACCTCAATATCAACCTCTGCTCCATCTAAATATTAAATAAACTCAACCTCAATATCAACATCTGCTCCGTCTAAATATTAAATAAACTCAACCTGAATATCAACCTCTGCTCCATCTAAATATTGAATAAAATCAACTCAATATGAACCTCTTCACCATCTAAATATTGAATAAAATCAGCTACAATATGAACCTCTGCTCCATCTAAATATTAAATAAAATCAACTCAATATAAACCTCTGCTCCATCTAAATATTGAATAAAATTAACTCAATATCAACCTCTGCTCCATCTAAATATTGAATAAAATCAACTCAATATTAACCTCTGCTCCATCTAAATATTGAATAAAATCAACTCAATATCAACCTCTGCTCCATCTAAATATTAAATAAAATCAACTAAATATCAACCTCTTCACCATCTAAATATTGAATAGAATCAACCTCAATATAAACCTCTGTTCCATCTAAATATTAAATAAAATCAACGCAATATCAACCTCTGTTCCATCTAAATATTGAATAAAATCAACCAAATATCAACCTCTTCACCATCTAAATATTGAATAAAATCAGCTTCAATATCAACCTCTGCTCCATCTAAATATTGAATAGAATCAGCTTCAATATCAACCTCTGCTCCATCTAAATATTGAATAGAATCAGCTTCAATATCAACCTCTGCTCCATCTAAATAATCAGCTTCAATATCAACCTCTGCTCCATCTAAATATTGAATAAAATCAACTCAATGTCAACCTCTTCACCATCTAAATATTGAATAAACTGAACTTCAATATGAATCTCTGCTAAATATTGTAAATCTATATATTTATCAGGAAGGTTCAATTTATATCATTTCCAACAAAATATATTATTATTTATTTGGTTTCTTGTCAACCCTTGTCCTCACCAAATGTTATTGATATCGAGGAACAATTTTATCATGTTATTCAAAACCTTAATAGAAATATATTTTGCAAAAAATATTAGATTAACATTATAATTTTGCGACAACATGACCGACAAGCGTTGATTTAATCATGGGGTTTTTGCTGATCAAAAAATGTTTAAAAAGGAGAAATTATGTTTACAAGGTTTAAAAACGATAAAGATAATCTAAAAATAATCATAAAAATGTTCCTAAAAGATTTTTAATTTTAAAAGTAAGCCAAACAATACAAACTTTTATAGCTTTAAATGATAACAAAAATATCAAATAAAATGTTCATTTCTTATTTTTTACAACCTGGTGGTTCACATTTAATATGCAAAACTTCGAATACTTGGATCCAACAGATTTATAGTTTGAAGTATTAAAAGTCTGCGACATGCAAAGATACAGGGTGTCACTAAAAATATGTTAGCAACTGTTCCAAATGCTTTTTACCAATCGGCATCTGTCCTAATTACAGCGCTAGGCCCTCTATCTTGTTCTAGCCGCAGCACTCGGCCCCAAAGCCTATCCTAGCCGCAGCTCTCAGCCTCAGAAGACCTCACCTAACCATTGTTAAGTTGATGCTTGAGAAATTGCACATTCGGGAAGTTGCCACTTGGGGAGTCAAGTCCCCCTGGGGTAAATAATTTACTTCTCTAAAAAGTCATCCAAGGATTATTAAAAATAAAACTGCTTACATTGTACATAAACTGTTAGTTTATCCTCTGCTTGTACTCCGAACCCGTTAGACCCAATGCACATGTACACGCCGCTATGCTTCCGGGTTGCCCTGAAATAAACAATGGGATCCACAAAGCTGTGAAGTAGAAAGACGACTCTAAGATCAAAGTTTGATTTTGAATGGTCCAAGGAGTCCAATGGCCGAATTTAAAGAATTTGAGCGGCGGTTTAAATTTAAGCCGCGGTTTAAATATGGTTGGTTCCACTTAAAATTGTATCAAATGTTTCAAGATTTAAACCGGCGCTTAATTTAAACCGGGTTTTGGCGGATTTAAACCGTGGCTTAAATTCTTTAAATTCCATCTCAAGTAACATGAAAGAAATGTCTAGTGCAATGTAAGCAGAGTCTATTCACGTAATAATTTTATATTTCAGTCCCTGGTAAATCTAGTTTCGTTTGGACAACATTAAATACACATAACATTGCCTTAGTGTCATCTTCTTATTCCACAGTTTTATGGGTCTCATTGCGATGTTGATTATATTGTAAATATTTAAAATTAGTGAAAGGAACTAAGTTTTGGATCAAACTCTATTTTTCTGTATCTTTGCAACCCAACCTAGTTCACCATTGATATTGCAAACTATAAATTCTGTTAGATCAATTGATTTAAGTTTAAAATATGGAAAATTTAAGTTTGTGGCAGAAATTCAGTTCCTTAAGCTGATTTTCAGGGGACCTTTTAGATCCTTACCATTGAGGTCCTGCAAAAAAAGTCTAAAATTATCAGGACTGGTGAAAAAGGTAAATCTCACATCAGATTGAACTCCGAGAGGTTTTTAATCCTAAATTCTCTTTCAGAAAAACAAAAAGTTTTGAACTCCTTATTTGCAATTAACCAAATGAATTTACTTTCCTCATTCTTGAACTTTACAGCAATGGGAAAGCTAGCTATTAAGTCATAGAGTAGTAGCAGTGATTTCTTTAAAATTAGACCTTGGAGTAAGGGAACAATAAATGTAAGAAAAAACTAAATAAATTCTGTACTTTCGTCTTTTTTGTATCAGCTTATGTGGGTAACACTGATGTAGACATGGCATATAGCCTTCGTCTACCTTTAAACGAAAACCGTCAGTGTACACTGCAGTACATGTAAATTGTATATAAGTATATGTATTATATGTATTTCTTAGTAATTGTATGTTATTTATGTACTTATAGTGTATATACATATGTAATCTGTAAATAGATGTTTAATTATTAAATTCTAATCTACAATATTTATTTTCCTGTCAAGGTTAGGATGAAGTACCATGTTACTATATGTAGATTAGAATGCTTCAAGAAAAAGTCCAGATCTTATACTTATTTAGTTTTATAAAAAAAAATTGCGTTGAATAGGAAACTTTATGATTTTCCATGTCTATTTAATCTAAATCAAACTATACCACATCTGAGGAATTTATAAAATACAAAGAAAAATATATTAAATCTGTTAATTATAAAAAGATGAACAGTTTCCTATAAAATCCGGAACCAAGACATCTCACCGGATCTAAGATATGAAAACTTGGTTCTTTTATCCTTTTATTATTTTCTGCTCCTTAATGCTAGATATAGAAAATATAGAAAAAAAAGAATGAAAAATAATTGTACTTCAGACTTGAGACGACAAACTTTCTAAAGTAGATTTCCCCCCCCCCCAAAAAAAAAAACAAGTTTGTACTGCTATCCTATCAAAAAATTGAACGCTCGGCTCATCAAGTGTTAAAATTTTGCTTTGTTATAATTTTCCATAAGAAAATGTACTTTATACTCTCCAAGATTCTATTAAAAGATATATCCCGCTGTAAGCCATTAATTTCAGCTTCATTTAACAAATTAGTCAGAACAAAAAGAACAAATATATTTAAATCTATTTTCTATTAAGTAGAAAACCCTAAATCATACTGGGTGTTCTCTCGAAACTTTATCTGAAAGGGGTTTTGAGAGAACGTTAAAAATTGTGAGTTTTAATTGGAACGATTTTGAGATCTCGTATCTTACCTAGGTAACACAACTGAGAGAGAGGAAAATGAACATATTTTTTTTTCAAAACTCGTCAATAGGCAAAAATTGATGAAATTGATTTCAAATTAGAATAAAATCAACTTTGATTTGATATGCTCAACTGGATGTACGCAAATATGTGATAAATTCTTAAAAATGTTAAAATGTGTTTTTTTTTTGAAATAGAAAGCACATGCTTTTTTAAAAAGAATTTATAAACACCTTTGTTGCAAAAAAAAAGGTTCTTCTCTTTTTACTCTTGGTAAAAAAGATATTTTTTTCTTCCTTTCAATTTTCATTTCCTCGATTCAAGTTTTCATAATTTTCGATATATTCCATCCATTTTATTCCATCCATTCTATTCCATCCATTTTATTCCATCCATTCTATTCCATCCATTCTATTCCATCTATTATTCACAAAACTGCGAATATTATTTTCTATCTGTCTACATTGATCTATTGATAACAATGCAAAAATATGAGTTGAATGCAAACATTTCCCTTGAGAGTTTACATTTTTAATTCAAGGTTAAATAATAAATATACAAATGGAAAAAGGATCAAAAGGTTACAAACAAACATTTAGAAAACAATTATATCTTTTATTTAAATCAATTTTTCATTTGTAGGTATTTTAAGTATTTTAGGTAGCTTTTAAATTTTTAAGGCTTTTGGATTTGGAAAAGGTTCCAAAAAGATCTGATAAAGATAAGATGAAAAAATTATTAATCTGCAGACACATCCCGACAAAAAAAACATCCATGTCCCCTCCTCCGCATTAAATTGTAATCCAAGGAAATGATTAATCTTATAATTAGTCTGGAAATTTAATTATAGTTCGGGGAAACCATGGATTTAGAATTAGAAGGATTCAGGAAACCAAGGATTAAGTAAACCAAAGATTCAGTAAACCAAGGAATAATGAAACTACGAACTAGGGATTCAGTATACCAGAGATTCAGGAAACCCGGAGTGCAGGAAACAGGGGTTCAAGAAACCAGAATTTTAGAATACCAGGAATTCAAAAAACCAGGGATTTAGTATACCAGGTATTCATATAATAAGGGATTTAGAATAGCATGGTTTAAGAAAAATCATGATTTACAATAACAAGGATTTAGAAAACCATGCTTTAGATTACCAGGGATTCAGAAAACCATGTTTTAGATTACCAGGGATTCAGAAAACCATGTTTTAGATTACCAGGGATTCAGAAACCATGTTTTAGATTACCAGGGATTCAGAAAACCATGTTTTAGATTACCAGGGATTCAGAAAACCATGTTTTAGATTTCCAGGGATTCAGAAAACCATGTTTTAGATTACCAGGGATTCAGAAAACCATGTTTTAGATTACCAGGGATTCAGAAAACCATGTTTTAGATTACCAGGGATTCAGAAAACCATGTTTTAGATTACCAGGGATTCAGAAACCATGTTTTAGATTACTAGGGATTCAGAAAACCATGTTTTAGATTACCAGGGATTCAGAAAACCATGTTTTAGATTACCAGGGATTCAGAAAACCATGTTTTAGATTACCAGGGATTTAGAATACCATGTATTCAGAAAACCAGGGATTTCAAAAATCAGGTTTTTAGAATACCATGGGGATTCTGAAAACCAGGGATCAGAAAAACCAGGGATTCGGAAACCATGGATTTAGAAAACCAGGGATTTAGAAAATTAGGCATATAGAAAACCAGGGCTTTAGAAAACCAGGGATTCAGAAAATAAGGAATTCAGAGAACCAGGTATTAAGGAAACGAGGGATTTAAGCAACCGCGGAATGAATGAGACTATAATTGTTTCGTAAATATGAAACAACTTACCTGTCAAACTTGAATAAAACAATATTTTGAACTTTTTCAGCACTAAATATTTGATTTATTAAAACTTTCAAAATTGCATTTATTCCAGATAAATAAATATAGTATATAGATAAATCAATCTCTGAGAAAAGTTAGTTTCTTCTGTAAAAGCTAATAATCTTAATTTTGTCTGAACCCATTTCTTCATCAAGAAACCAGACACGTTTAATCTGATTATCTACATTATATCTCAATATATATCTATATATCAGAAACCAGACACGTTTAATCTGATTATTTACATTATATCTCAATATATATCTATATATCAGAAAAGAAGTATCTATATTTTACTTTGCATGTCTCTGCTTGTCTATTTGTTTGTTTGTGTCCAATAAACGTCCACACGGGTGAACCGATCCGGCCCAAATTGTTTGTGGGGCCTCACATTACCCCGGGAAGGTTTATGAATGATCAAAATTTTAAAAATTAGCCTCCAACTAAAAATCCACGACATTTTTTTTTAAAAATCCGTTAACTTTTTTTTGTTTTTGTTTCACAATGTATACAAAATGAAAATGTCAGGTTTCATTTAATTCTTCCCAGCAAACATAAGAGTGTTCGTGTGGATGTTGCAATAAAACCCAGATACACCGGATATAACGGATAATCAACCATTATTTAATTTTACTATCAAGTTTTCCTACGTTTTTCAAGAAGAAAATTATTGTTAAATGAAAAAATTAGCCATTTGTATGTAGATTTCAAGTTCCATTGGGATTGCTATCCACTTTGTAATTTATGCTTTTTTCAAATCATTTGTTTACGATCAGCTGATACCAAGATATTCTTCTCTAACCCTCCCCTAGTAGAGGTGAGGAAGGCCAGCTAAAACAACTTCTCGTCCGAGCCACATTCTCCTCATTTTCTCGTCCGAACCACCTCGAAATCCTCGTTCTTTGATTATTATGTGATTAAAAGTTTCTAATTCTTGTAGATAAAACTATTTTTAACAAATCTGGCCACGTTAGGGCATAAAAAATGGAAAGATTAAAATATCACAATGATTAAATCATGTTTGAAACTTTAGAAACATGAGAATGATGTCAAACTTTATTTAGGTAAAACTTAAAACTCTTCTGCCTTCGTAATGGCCAACCTTCGCGATATGAAATAAATAGCAAAATAGTTGGCATACCTGTGCCTAAAATTTTCCCCATGGAACCACCCGGAAAAAATCTATGGTTTCACTATAATTAACAAAAAAAAGTTTAAAGTTCTATAACTTCGGAATTATTTGCGGCATTCTACACCAGGAATATCTGAAAATGCGCGTAAAAAAGATGAACATTTTCAAGGACATATAACTTCAATTCAATTTATACTATTTTTTCGATTTACAAAAATTCAATATTTCATTTATGTCCTATCGTGGTCCGATTCTTAAAAAAAAGTTTTATCTTGGAGGTCTAGTTACTCTTAAAAAATAATATTGTAAGGACGAGGATTTAGAGGTGGCTTGGACGAGAAAATGAGGAGAATGTGGCTCGGACTAGAAATTGTTGTGGCTGGCCTTCCTCCCCTCGCTAGTCTCTTATTCTAAACCTATACCTGGTAAATATCAGCTGATCTCCAGATATTCTTCTAGAACCATCCACAAGCCTCTTATTCTAAGCCTGTACCTGGTATATATCAGCTGATCTCCAGATATTCTTCTAGAACCACCCACTAGTCTCTTATTCTAAACCTGTATCTGTTATATATCAGTTGATCTCCAGATATTCTTCTAGAACCATCCATTAGTCTCTTATTCTAAACCTGTACCAGGTATATATTAGCTGATCCCCAGATATTCTTCTAGAACCATCCCCTAGTCTCTTATTCTAAACCTGTACCTGGTATATTATATCAGCTGATCTCCAGATATTCTTCTAGAACCATCCACTAGTCTCTTATTCTAAACCTGTACCTGGTATATATCAGTTGATCTCCAGATATTCTTCTAGAACAATCCACTAGTCTCTTATTCTAAACCTGTACCAGGTATATATTAGCCGATCCCCAGATATTCTTCTAGAACCATCCACTAGTCTCTTATTCTAAACCTTACCTAGTATATTATATCAGCTGATCTTCAGATATTCTTCTAGAACCATCCATTTATAGTCTCTGATTCTAGACCTGTACCTGGTATATATCAGCTGATCTCCAGATATTCTTCTAGAACCATCCACTAATCTCTTATTCTAAACAAACCATGCATTATTCTTTAATATAGTTAAACACACATGATATCTTGTTATTTTCCTTTCTTTATTTTATTTAATTTCATCGTCTCATTATCAAGCATTATTTTATGAAGAGGAAACAGTCTCCTTCAAAGTAGGTCTAGATACTAAACTTTTTATCTCTTTTTAATTAAAAAAAATTGAATTAACTCGTCTTCCTACGGGACCCTTCCCCTCTCCTCTCATAAGTTTTAAGCATAGAAAAAGGAAACGAAGAGGAAAAGCTTACCTCAGATACACAACCGTCCTTCCTATTCATTAATTAATAGAGTGGTCGGTTGTGATATGTTTATCGTAACTAACACTGTACATTTGTATATGGAGTGATTTCTAGGGGGGAATTGATTTTTTACCACCCCCAAAAATTACGATTACTCTTTATACAAGTGTACAGTGTTAGATACGTAAACATATCGTGATGTACACAACCGACCACAGATCTATTAATTAATTAATAGAGAGGTGAGGTAAGCTTCACCTCTTCGTTATATTACTCTATGGTTTAAAGTCCCTCCCATCACTTATTATAGAGTTAACTACATTTAATTAATTTCATTTATGTATTTAATTGATTGTCATTAAAAGTTATTTGAATATGGAATTAAGAACAGGGAAATACATAAAGCGTTAAACACATTTTAACTATCTACTATCTATTTTTATATATTAATATAGTAGTAATCTCTGTTTATCTGTTTGTTTGGATGTCCGGATTGACTTTTGTGTAGGAAAATTCCAGGCAAACTTGATATCTTTAATCTTCTCTATTTGGTTTAAGTCCGATCATAACTCATAAACCCCTTGATTCAAATTTGATTTTAGAACTAAAGGTAAAACCCACGGGAATATTCTTGGTTTAAAATTTCCCAGTAGATCTTTTTTTATGATTTGATAAAATAAGTTTCAAACAGTTGCTTGATTTGTTTTGTTGTGTGTGTGACTGTTGATATAGTAAGAACCATACAACCGTGAATTTGTATTTGATGTTGTTATATATATATATATATATATAGTAATCAATACCTTGTTAGTTTGGTTTGGGATCCGGTTTTTAATATATTTTCATCTAGGATATATACAGAGAAAACGATGCAAAAACGAACGTGTTATTACAATCGTTTTTGGATCGTTTTTGGATCGTTTTTGGATCGCTTTGGATCGTTTTTCAGTTCTTGTTTTGAGTTCAAAGGAATTGACTATTTGCAACAAACTCTGATTTTCTAATCCCTATATCTTTGGATTCCAACGTCGTAAACCTTTGAAATTTCAATCTATGACTTTTGTTAGATCAAAAAATATAAGTTTGAAATATCAAAGGTTTACGACATTGGGTTCTAAAGATATTTGGATTAGAAAATCAGAGTTTGTGGCAAAGAGTCAATTCCTTTTAAAAAAACAAACTTTAACAGAATATTTTGAGTTCTGGGAAGTTTAACATTTTTTTCTAAAAAAAACTAACCAAAGCGATTAACAACACTAACCTTGTGCAAATATTCTATAAAATGAATGCATCACGGGGGGTGGGGTGCAAATAAGTTTAATAGAAATTCTGAAGTTTAATTCAATTCCAAGCAGTTGAATGGTCCTAGAACTTAGGACGGAAACTGCCAAAATTAAAATAGTCCAAGTTTCAAGCAAATATTTATATTGAAGAAACGTTTTTGTGGAATTTCCAAATGCATAAATTTCCAAGAATGGTTTCTTTGATCTCCCCATATATTTATTAGTTTTTCAACAAGAAAGGGGAAATGAGTTCCCTTGTAGAAACCAGAAATTGATAATGTAAACCATAAAAAAGGCATTTAATACTTTTATCAAGCTTGCAGGTTTTAAAAATGTGAAAGCGTATTTGGAGAAAAATGTATCGCCCCCCCCGGATTAAATCCTTTGCACAGCCCAGCATGCACACATTTTGCACAGCCCAGCATGCACACATTTTGCACAGCCCAGCATGCACACATTTTGTCTCCGACAAGCCGATGTCGAACATCAAAAGTCCAGATTCATTTACCCAACATATTCGCCATCGGAACTACAGGTTTACCCACAAAGGACGAGACTTCAGAGAAGATTGTACGGAATTTGTTTAGTCCGTATATATTTCTGAACTTGATTGCGAGGAATAGCGCGGAATTGTGTGAAATTGCTCGTAAAGGAATTGAGTCTTTGTAACAAACTCTGCTTTTCTAAATCCTATATCTTTGGATTCCAATGTCGTAGACCTTAGATATTTCAAACTATAAATTCTGTAAGATCAAATAATAAAAGTTTGAAATATCAAAGATTTACGACATTGGATTCCAAAGATATAGGGATTATAAAATCAGAGTTTGTGGCAAAGACTCAATTCCTTTGAGCTTGCAATTGCACACAAGTAAAATCCACTTGCGTTGGAACCCTCAGTGTAATGAACATTTGATTTATGACATATCATCTTTGTGTCCTGCTCTATTCAAATGGTAAAGAGTTGCTGCATTGATAGTTTTTCTTTAAGTAGCAACAGATTCAGCCATTGCTGAAAAGGGATCATTGTCAGCCAAATCTTACATGTGTTTAATAGGTTGATATTTCAATTTCAATACGTATGAACAACGTTAGGATTTCTCTTATAACTGTGTAAAGTGCTGTGTATGGAATATACAGGGTGTCCCAAAAAAACGATCTTTAAGACATTGTAGCGCTCGCCATGGTTCATTTTTTTAAAAATTGTACATTTTTAAAATCTTTGGAACATTTCTGATCGATTGATTTCAATTAGAGGTATGTAGCACTAAAATTTAGGAAGTATTGCATGACCGTTTGAAGTTTGTCATTTTGGCTTGGTTGAAAATTGAAATTGACATTGTAATAGGTAAAGCAAAAAATTATCACTGCATATTCATATTTTATTTTAAAAAATGATACAAAAACGTGTTTATTGTCTTTTTACTCAAAACGCCCCCAATGGTTTGCAATACATTTTTCTGCTCTATTTCTTACATCCATAACTGCTCTCCTACACATATCAACGTCTACTCTAGCAACATGTCGAGATCTTCCACTGAATGAATTTCCAGGACTTACTATTTACATTGAGTACTGTCCCTAGCTCCATTGCCTTTTTATAAATTCTTCTGACATGACATAAAGCAGGCTGTCTTGCATTGAGAAATTTGCGCTCAAAGTCCATGATAAGACCAGGCATAAAGTTTCTGTGACCCTTTCTTTTGTGATGCTCAAAAGCAAGGAAGTTTCTTTCCTGTGTTGTAAACTGAGGTCTTGCCATTATTAAACAATAATTGCGCATTTTTAAGATTGTTTAGAAGATTTTAATGTTTTTAAGACACTACTAAAGTTCCATAATATTTTTAAAATTCGAAAAAATCAATTCATGAACTCAACTGAGCCAAACTGAAAAACTTCAAACAGTCAATACTTTCTTAATTTTACTGCTACATACCTCTAATCAATCGATCGGAAATGTTCCAAAGTTTTAAAAAATGTACAATTTTTTAAAAATTGAACCATGGCGAGTGCTACAATGTCTTAAATATTGTTTTCTTTGGGACACCCTGTACATAAATTAAATCCTAAGCGTTTGTACATATAAATCAAGTCGCTGAACAGAAGAAAGAATCTGTATTAGAAACACAATGGGTGCACGGAATTATTTTCAGACAATTTGGCTTCATCACAGACAGTACATTTGCAATGTGCTTTTTCATACTTACCCGATACTGATAGAACAAGATTTAGGTCGAAAGAACTCAGTTCTCTTCTCTCATCATAGTGAAATTTATTTACACTGTATATCCAAAAGTCAAACTTTCTCAAAAGTATCTCTGATTTAAAAAGGCGGTTTTCAGGATGATATATTTCTCTATAAAGAAGTTGACATACAGTACAAGATAAACTACACAAAGTACAATGTTTATCATTCTTTTCCAAGGAAGGAAAAGTTCAGTTTTTGCAGGGGTCCATATTGTTCCATCTAATATCATCCCAAATTTTGTAAGATTGATATTAGGGGCAGAAATTAACCACGTTGTTCTAATAAGAAGTTGGAAGTATTATGTCAAGTTGTAGAAAAAACTAGATACAGATACTTTCACCCTTACATGATGTAAAAATACTATTTAGATCATTTTTTTGGTCTCTTCCCACTGTAGGTCGCAGTCTTGAACAAAAAGTTTTAAGGTTTATTTTTAAAAATATTTTTGTTTATATCCAGTATAATTACACTACATGTATGGGGTTTAGATTCTATTTTTCTGCTATGGACCTAAAACATCAATCTTTTTTATCAGAAACTTTGAGAAATATATAGAATATATATAAATATACATTATTGATAAAAGATTATAATTTAAAACTTTTGTTTCAAAGTTTTACTGCAGAGAATTCTAGATTTCCCCGGTTTCTCTTTTTCTTATATTTATATGCCCATATTGGTTTTATTATTTTATAGGAGAGAACAGTAGTCTTATATTTAATCTAACCAATATTTTATTGGTTTTATTATTTTATAGGAGAGAACAGTGGTCTTATATTTAATCTAACTAATATTTTATTGGTTTTATTATTTTATAGGAGAGAACAGTAGTCTTATATTTAATCTAACCAATATTTTATTGGTTTTATTATTTTATAGGAGAGAACAGTAGTCTTATATTTAATCTAACCAATATTTTATTGGTTTTATTATTTTATAGGAGAGTACAGTAGTCTTATATTTAATCCCACTAATATTCTATTTTCCATTAAAGGATGGAATGCGCATTACTGTGATGATGGGAAGTAATAAAGAATGAATCTGAGTGGGTTCAGAATGTAGGTCATATATAACCTGAGAAAAATCAGTTTTTTAGTCTTTTTCCGACGGCAATAATACCTTTACGAGAACATGTATTACAGAATTAAAATCACCGAATATGGTTTAAAACTTATATAATTTAGATCGTTATTTTGGACATATTTTCCAGAATTTGATTTTCCTCCGATCCTAAATAAGTTTGATTCTCAGAAAAAAATATGAAAGATAATTTAACCGTGTCCATGTTAAAACCAGCTCTTTACAAATTCAGAATCAATGGAAATTAAAATCCTTTATAATGAGTTTTTTCATTAGTTCTAATTTTTATTTTTAAAAAAATGGGAGCCTAAGCGTCCCTGAGCGGTTCTTTTTTCATGTCAAGATGCTAGTTCACCCTATTAACTTCTATGATGGTTTTCAGAAAGTTACTGTCGTTTATTCTTGGTATTATATATCTCATACTGGTTATATTATTCTTTTAGTTGGATGAAAGAGACTGTTTCATTTATATAAAAGAATATTTCATCGCACAGTTTGTGCATTCTAAACAATTTCAGATTGAATAAGTGAAAATGAAAATGATTTGAATGAAATGATAGAAAATTCAATAAATGGAATAATAATGCTTGGCAATAAAAATGAGCGGGAATATGAATGAATGGAAATAAAAATGTGTGGGAATGAAAATGAGTGGGAATAAAAATGGGTGGGATTGGAAAAGGTTATAGGAATTACAATGTTGTCGAATGAAAATTACAGGAAAATAATTGTAAGGAAAACGCTTGAATTTAAAATGAATGGGAATGAAAATTAAAGGAATAAAAATGCTTGGAAATAAAAATGAGTGGGCATGTAAACAATAGGAATGAAAATACTTGAAAATAAAAATGAGTGAGCATTAAAATAATAGAAATGAAAATGCTTGGAAATAAAAATGAGTGGGCATGTAAATAATAGGAATAAAAATGCTTGGAAATAGAAATGCGTGGGCATGTAAATAATAGGAATGAAAATGATTGAAAATAAAAATGAGTGGGCATGTAAACAATAGGAATGAAAATGCTTGAAAATAAAAATGAATGGACATATAAATAAAAATGAGTGGGCATGAAAATAATAGGAATGAAAATGCTTGGAAATAAAAATGAGTGGGCATGAAAATAATAGGAATTAGAATGCTTGGAAATAAAAATGAGTTGGTTTAAAAAAATCAAAAATGAAAATGCTTGAAAATAAAAATGAGTGGGCATGTAAACAATAGGAATGAAAATGCTTGAAAATAAAAATGGGTGGGCATGTAAATAATAGGAATGAAAATGATTGAAAATAAAAATGAATTTGCGTGTAAATAATAGGAATGAAAATGCTTGGAAATAAAAATGAGTGGGCATGTAAATAATAGGAATGAAAATGATTGAAAATAAAAATGAATTTTCATGTAAATAATAGGAATGAAAATGCTTGGAAATAAAAATGAGTGGGCATGTAAACAATAGGAATGAAAATGCTTGAAAATAAAAATGAATGGACATATAAATAAAGATGAGTGGGCATGAAAATAATAGGAATGAAAATGCTTGGAAATAAAAATGAGTAGGCATGTAAACAATAGAAATGAAAATACAGGGTGTCCCACGAAATATGACAATAGAAAGACGACTTGAAAGTCGTCTTTGTTATTTGAATTTATTTGTGACATTTAGTCTTCTATCTATTTTAAAATGTATGATTCTTGAAACAATTATCACATAATTCTCCTAGCCCTGGCATTTCCAAAAAGTGGTCTGCGTTTTTTGTGCTTTCAATATTACCGGAGATATAAAGAATTTGGTTCAAATTTCAATTTTGTTAAATAAAAGCAAAATTGTCGAAATCTTAACGAAATTCTTCATATCTCGGGCAATATTGAAAGCACAAAAAAGGCAGACCACATTTTGGAAATGGCAGGACAATGGAAATTTTGTGATTATTATCTCTAGAAATTTACTTCTAAAATTAGGTTGACAAAATAAACGCAGCAAATTATATCAAAAATCAAGACGACATTCAAGTCGTCCTGCATACTGTCATGTTTCGTGGGACACCCTGTACTTGAAAATAAAAATAAGTGAGCATTAAAATAATAGAAATGAAAATGCTTGGAAATAAAAATGAGTGGGCATGTAAACAATAGGAATGAAAATACTTGAAAATAAAAATGAGTGAGCAGTAAAATAATAGAAATGAAAATGCTTGAAAATAAAAAGGAACATAAATGAGCTACCTGACGTCTCCAGTATATATCTGGTTTAGGATCCCCCTCACCCTGTAAACAAAATAAAATATAGGTCAATATAAATAAGCAGGGTTACTCAAAAATGATTAGACTGTAAAGACGACTTGAAAGTTTAAATCAAGTCTTCTGTCATGAATGTGGTCTTTGACTAGCTTATTTTATGTTCTTGCAAAGAAAGAAATAAGTTTTATAGTTGCAAGGAATCATGAATATAGTATACAGTATACAATCCGTACAGTCGTCTCTGAAGTCTCATCTTAGCTCTATGGGTAACCCTGTAAATAATTTTCGTAGCTTTGGCAACTAAACGAGCCATTAAAACGAGTGTGCTTTGCCCTTGCCTATTCGTCAAAGAAAACCAGTTTTATTTTACAATTTATCCAGTTTATGTTTCCCCAAATAAATTAAATTTTTACCAAGAAATACTTTTCTCTACATTTCCCTTGAAGACCTTAAATTCTGTATGATGGAGAAAAAGGGAGGTGGGGGGGGGGGGGCAATATAAAAAATAGAAAAATAAATTTCCCTGCTATCTTGAGAAAATGTGCAAGCTTCACATTATCACATATCATCCATTAAATGAAGTAAAAACAAGTTTTAGCAAGAAAACAATTTATCAATTAAACATTGTGAACACTGAACACTGCACAAGGGAAATAGAAAAATAAATTGTTTAGAGGAAAAAATAGAATTTGATTAAAAAAAGGGGGTCAACAGAGTTTTCTTTTAGCTTTTAACTTTGGCCTTTTTAGATTTTTAAAAACATAATAGTTACTTGGGCTTATCAGAGATATTCTCTTAGAATGAGAATTCAATGACGACTTAAAATCTTTTAGATAAAACGTTTCAGTGATATAATTAAATAATGTTCAGAAATGATAAATTAAACATAAAGAGTTAGTATTTTCCCAATTATAATGATTTTTGGTTTTGGTGAAATTTGGCTAATTGCGCTTGATAACAAATTAAACTAAATGATTTAATCATCAACCAAAAATAAATAAAATAAAGAAATTATCAAAGATGTAAACTGCCGGTGTTACCTGGCAAATCAAGAGCTAGCTCCATGTCCCTCTACTATGGTATACACACCAGAGTCAGGTTTACCTGGCATAGAAGGGCTAGCTCCTGTCCCTCTACTATATAGGGTATACAAACCAGAGTCAGGTTTACCTGGCATACAAGAGCTAGCTCCTGTCCCTCTACTAGGGTATACACACCAGAGTCAGGTTTACCTGGCATACAAGGGCTAGCTCCTGTCCCTCTACTAGGGTTTACACACCAGAGTCAGGTTTACCTGGCGTACAAGGACTAGCTCCTGTCCCTCTACTAGGGTATACACACCAGAGTCAGGTTTACCTGGCATACAAGAGCTAGATCCTGTCCCTCTACTATAGTATACACACCAGAGTCAGGTTTACCTGGCATACAAGAGCTAGCTCCTGTCCCTCTACTATGGTATACACACCAGAGTCAGGTTTACCCAATATTTTCACCACCGGTGACCCTGGAGAAAATTTACATTGTCAAATATATGTTTTACATTTCATGAATTTAAAAACACTCTCACTTGAAAGAATTATAGGTATTACATTTTATTTTGTATTTTTTTCGTATATTATTAAAAGAGTTTTGTAGATCTTTTTCAACATTTCTGTAATACCGAAATTTATTGGAGGGGATTTTGTTATTTCATCCAGCCAATAAAATTTCCTGAGGTCCTTTAATTGTTAGGTTCTTTGAAATATTTGGACCTGGTTCCATTTTTTTACTACAGTTTTATCTATTATTTTAAGCTCTAACAACGTGAGAGACCGACCATTTTTATAAAGATGATTTTTAACTCAAAAATAAAACTCTATGTTGCATTTTAATTGAAAAAAAGCGGATACGACCCTCATGGGACCAATGGACCTCACCACCCACAACTAAGAGTTCCAGTGTATTCTCCAGTTATTTGCAGTACACTGACCGAAGAATCATAAGCGTTTAGTGGAGAGTGTCATTGGGTTGTTTAATGGTTATCACTGTCGGTAAGATTTGTAAAAACAATTTGTGCAGTTTGTGTATTTATAAGACCTAAAACAAACAATGCGATTAAAAATTCCAAAATCGTCCATATGTTTGCGGTCCGACGATTTAATGGGTGAGAAATGACTACATAGGCCTCTAAATGTAATAAACCATATATTTTTTGAATCTGTACACTGCGTGTGAAGATTGTCCGTACACTATTACGTTTGTTAATTTCTGCGATGACCTATAGGTCTACGTCGTTACCATGTATTACGATTTGCTTTAATTACGTTCATTAATTTAATACCAAGGAAATATAGATCAGTTAACCATGAATTATAATTCAATATATTGCTTTATCAGGTTACGAACATATTAATCTCGTGTAGAGAGGCAAAGAGTTTGCTCTAGTTGTATCAGGGATACATATAAAGGAATACAGAGTTGTATCAGAGATACACATAAAGGAACACAGAGTTGTATCAGAGATACACATAAAGGAATACAGAATCGTATCAGAGATCCTTATAAAAGAATACAGAATTGTATCAGAAATCTTTACAAAGGAATACAGAATTGTATCAGAGATCCATATAAATGAATACAGAGTTGTATCAGAGATACACATAAAGAAATACAGAATTGTATCAGAGATCCTTATAAAGGAATACAGAGTTGTATCAGGGATACATATAAAGAAGTACAGAATTGTATCAAAGATCCATATAAAGGAATACAGAGTTGTATCAGATATCCATATAAAGGAATACAGAGTTGTATCAGAAATACATATAAAGGAATACAGAGTTGTATCAGGGATACATATAAAGAAGTACAGAATTGTATCAGATATCCATATAAAGGAATACAGAGTTGTATCAGAAATACATATAAAGGAATACAGAGTTGTATGAGAAATACATATAAAGGAATACAGAGTTGTATCAGAATTACATATAAAGGAATACAGAGTTGTATCAAGAATACATATCAAGGACCACAGATTTGTATCAGTGATATAAACTGTGCTTGTTGAAGGTTGTACCTAGATTGGTACGGATCTAAAACTATTTATTGAAGCAGAGCATTCACCACAGGCCTAACAAATTAAAATGTCAAAATATGTTATGTTATACAACGTTAATTTGACGGATAAAAGATATTTTTGAGATCTTATTAACGTAAAAATATGTTGCAAATTATTAACAGTCTGTGATTATCAGTTTAGTCTTCATATTTTATGATTAATTTGAATAATCAATTTTAAAGATACTATAGGGTTCCAAGGGCACTTCTCGTCTTATAATAATTTTATTTTTTTTTCAATTAGCTTCTAGGACTTTTTTATCCTACAAAATATCAAAAAATCATTATAAAAATATTCACAGAGTTTTCTATTTTTTTTGTTAATAATTTGTGGAAATCCTGAATTGCTTTGAACCACACTTTGACCATGTTAATTAAGGGGAGGGGGGTTTAAATTTTTGTTCTTTCCTTGGGGGTAACAGCATCATTTGGGACCTGCAACGCCCTGAAAACCAATGTTTTTAATTACAAAGAAGGAAGGCATTGGTTCAATAGCCCCCCAACCCTTCTGTATACGTTTCTGAAAGAGTTTCGGCTCAAATTTGTTAGAACGTTTTGACTTTAATCCCCCCCCCCACACCAAAAAATGTAAAAGAGCTATATATAAGTAAAGAATAATATTTGTATATTAACAATGCAAGATTTATTTAAAGGGCCAAAATTAAGCTTTTGTCACATACCTAAATTTGTAATCCCTATATCTTTGCAAACTGATGGTGTAAACTTTGAAATTGAAATTTGGTTGCCAAGATGTGCGGATATTACGTTAGCTTCATGAAATACAATAATTCATTTAACAAAAATAATCAGAATATATTTAAAATTCCTTTTTTATCTTTTGTGGATTTAGACGAAACCATTTAAAATCTAATTATAGTTCTAGACAGATAAGACAGGATTTGATCCAGAGAAAACTTAAATTTTTGCAGAAATTCCCTGTTGTCTGTTTCCTGTAAACTTGTTAAATGATTTTCAAGAAAATGTCCCCCCCCTCCCCCTTCCCTGCCATCTGGTGGCGGCAAACTTATTCAAACATTTTCAAACATTTTCCTAAAGTTTAAAATAGTTTTCACTCTTCAGACTATTTTTTATCAATTAGGACAATTATGATGCTTTCACATGTAATTTGTGATGCTTTGTGTAACCTAACATAACCCAAGCTGTAAAAACCTCTGACAGCAGTGATTTTAGTTTATGTCTTCAATAAAACTTAAGTTAGCTCAAACATGCATCACTCGCAAATGATATGTCCCATGCGTCACAATAAAATATGAATAAATCCAATCATACTCATGCATATGCAGTGGGACCCATGAAACTGTGCAATTGGAAGACGACATTTAGGGAATTCTATTTGTTGTTATAAACCGAATAGATTTACCACCGTTTCTTGAAAACTACGTATTTAGTGAAAGTCTTGTGTCTAACTATCGTCTTCATAAACCACAGGTAAAAGTTTTCTCCTAGTACATCGTTTTTTAAATATAGAATTGATATCAAACTTACTTTTAATAGTTAGAGTATGTGTGAGGTACACGGGGGGATGTGAAAACACCTAAACATAATTATAAATTATATAAAAGTATTAATAAAACAATTAATAATAAATAAAGTTGTGGAACCAAGAGACAAGTGTAAGGATAATTGACTTGGCAGTAATCTATAATTGTTTTTAAAGGGACTGTACGGTTAATTTCAAGTGACTGTGATCCTCTTTTTTTCGAGGGGCTCGTCTGATTCCAATGGTCACGGTGAACTAGAGGTCCCACGGTTACAAGTTCAGCGACTCATAACTTTGGAACCCATTTTTATTCCTTAAATTTACATTTTTCGAATTTGCTTTTTAATACTTTTAATACAATGGTGGAAATGTAGAACATACTTTTCAAACCTAGAAAAACTACGATATCTCTAACATTATTAATCAGATTACGTTTATTGCACCGTTGTGAATCAGACATGCATGCGCAATCCCTTTAATCAGTCTTTGTAAAATATATATTGAGTACAGAAAGCATGTCACGGACAATAAACATACGTTTGGTTAATGTACATGGTGTCTCCGTTTACAGAGGAATTGCTGGCCAACATTGTCTTCCATAATCAATTATATTTATTATTTAGTTATATAGATAACCCTGTCCCAGTACCGTGTACATTGAATATTTAATTGTATGTACCGTACAGTTCACTCTTAGATAAATTATGTACAGGGTTAACCACAAAGTATGAGAGTTCAAAGACGACTGTATGTAATTTATACTGTCTGTTTCCTTCTATTCATTATTTCCTGAAACTATAAACTTCTTTCTTTCTTTCTTTATTAAATGATCATGTAAGCCAAATAAAAACCACATACAAGGCAGTAGACTTAAATAAACTTAGGAATGTCATATTTAAAGAGTTTAAAGTCGTCTTTACAGTCTCATCCTTTGTGGATAACCGTCCCTGTACCTATACCTGACATTGATATTCTCCCTGATCTTGATCCCGAACCAGCAATATCTGCAGGATGGAGCCCTGTGGTGTTAAGCTAACCTGGAGAAAAAGAAAAGTTAGACATATTTTTAATAAAAAAGCTTAAAATATGATTCCTCAGATCAAAGTCTAACTACAGGTCAAATTCCTTTACAATTAGATTCCTTCCGGATAAAAAGGTTTAGAGATCAAATTCTTCTGCGTCTTTTTCAGTGAATATTCTATAAAATGAAAATAAATAAATGTTTTGGTTTTCTCCTAGATTCCACTAGTTTCCACAGGATTAATTCAAGGATTTTTCTCCTAGATTCCACTAGTTTCCACAGGATTAATTCAAGGATTTTTCTCCTAGATTCCACTAGTTTCCACAGGATTAATTCAAGGATTTTTCTCCTAAATTCCACTAGTTTCCACAGGATTAATTCAAGGATTTTTCTTGTTTTCCCCAGGTTTCTCTTGATTTGACTGGTTTCCCCCATGGAGTCAATCTTTCTGGGTTCCCCTGTTTTTCTTCTGGATTTTCCTGGTTTTTTTTTATTTCCACTAGTTTGTCCGACGTCCCCGGGTTTGTCTATTTTCCCATAGTGTTTCTGGTTTTCCTTGGTTTCTACTTGTTTCCCTTAGTTAGTTTGGTTTCGAAACCCCTCATTACGAGTGGTTTTCTTTTGGATCCCCCAGCGTTCCCCTTCGTCATCTCAGGTTTGTGTTGTATCCCTGGTTTCCCCTTCTACATCTCAGGTTTGTGTTGTATCCCTGGTTTCCCCCTTCTACATCTCAGGTTTGTGTTGTATCCCTGGTTTCCCATTCTACATCTCAGGTTTGTGTTGTATCCCTGGTTTCCCCTTCTACATCTCAGTTTTGTATTGTATCCCTGGTTTCCCTCTTTTACATTTCAGGTTTGTGTTGTATCCCTGGTTTCCCCCTTCTACATCTCAGGTTTGTGTTGTATCCCTGGTTTCACTTTCTACATCTCAGGTTTGTGTTGTATTCCAGGTTTCCCTCTTTTACATTTCAGGTTTGTGTTGTATCCCTGGTTTCCCCCTTCTACATCTCAGGTTTGTGTTGTATCCCTGGTTTCCCCCTTCTACATCTCAGGCTATGGAGATTATTTGAGAAAACCAATAACAGGGAGAAAATCTTGTATATTCAACATTTTCAGTTTAAAATTACATTTAGGGAAGGCTGCAGGGGGCAGGGGGATTTAAGTAGTTTTAAAGGGACTGTTCTCAGTTCATCAACAGATCAGAAGACAATTTAAAAAGCTAACTCAGCAAAACATGAGTTTTCTTGAAAAGATCTGTGTTAGCTAAGTGATTTATAAATCTTAGTTTAAAGATCTAGAAACCTTAGCTTAGGGATAAAGAAACCTTAGCTTAGGGATAAAGAAACCTTAGCTTAGGGATCTAAAAACCTTAGCTTAGGGATAAAGAAACCTTAATCTAGGGATAAAGAAACCTTAGCTTAGGGATTTTAAAACCTTAGCCTTGGGATAAAGAAACCTTAGTTTAGGGATCCAAAAACCTTAGCTTGGGGATACAGAAACCTTAGCTTAGGGATAAAGAAACCTTAGCTTAGGGATCTAGAAATCTTAGCTTAGGGATACAGAAACCTTAGCTTAGGTATAAAGAAACCTTAGCTTAGGGATCTAATAACCTTAGCTAAGGCATCTAGAAACCTTAGCTTAGGGATCTAGTGACCTTAGCTTAGGGATACAGAAACCTTAGCTTAGGGATCTAGAAACCTTAGCTTATGGATCTAAAAACCTTAGCCAAGGGATCTAGAAACCATAGCTTAGGGATCTAGTAACCTTAGCTTTGGGATCTAGAAACCTTAGCTTAGGGATCTAGAAACCTCAGCTTAGGGATCTATTTAATTATGAATCTTGGAGTCTAAGAATTTTATTCAGGATTCTAGGAAAATTTCTAGATTCTTGATCAAAACTCCTTGAAACGTAAAATAGTTCTTAATTACTATAAAGATTTAAATAATCCATATACTTTGAAAAAGGCTCCTAGAATCCTAAAAAAGGTTCCTGGAATCCAGAACAAAGTTCCTGGAATCCAGAACAAAGGTCCTGGAACTTAGAACAAAGTTCCTGGAATCCAGAACAAAGTTCCTGGAATCCAGAACAAAGTTCCTGGAACTCAGAACAATGTTCCTGGAATCCAGAACAAAGTTACTGGAATTCAGAACAAAGTTCCTGGAATACAGAATAAGGTTCATGAAACTCAGAGCAAGTTCCTGGAATTCAGAACAAAGTTCCTGGAATTCAGAACAAAGTTCCTGGAATCCAGAACAAAGTTCATAAAACTCAGAACAAGGTTCCTGGAATTCAGAACAAGGTTCCTGGAATCCATAAGAAGTTTCCTGGAATCCAGAACAAGGTTCCTAGAATCCAAAACAAGGTTACTGGAATCCAGAATAAGGCTCCTGGAATCCAGAACAAGGTTACTGGAATACAGAGCGAGGTTTCCAGAATCCAATACAAAGTTCCTGGAATAAAACAAGGCTCCTGGGACCCTAAAGGATTCTAAAACCACGTAAAGGTTTCTAGAACACCCCCCCCCCTGGTTCCTGGAACCCTGGAAAGGTGCCTAGACCCCCAGGGTTCCTGGTACCCTAGATATACGCATTATGTTGAGAAATTAAGAGGGAAGACTAATAGCTTACAAGCATCCTGTGTCAAATACAGATCTAACATATATATTACAATTTCTACATTTATGTTTATGAATGATATAACATACAGAAATAGATTCAATATAATATTATACATATATAAATAAGTAAGAATAAGTATCTCAAGATCTGGATAGTGAGTAGGTTAGATATAGGGAAAAATAAAGCTGTCGAATCAGAAGACGACAGGTTTTGATTTTAGATAGTTTTATAAACATGAGACACATCAATTTTGCTATATACACAGACCAATTCCACCTAGGATCTGTGGTGATGGTGAGTAGGGTAGGTTTATACCGGGAATCTAGGATCTGTGGTGAGTAGGATAGGTTTATACCGGGAATCTAGGATCTGTGGTGAGTAGGGTAGGTATATACCGGGAATCTAGGATCTGTGGTGAGTAGGGTAGGTATATACCGGGAATCTAGGATCTGTAGTGAGTAGGGTAGGTTTATACCGGGAATGTAGGATCTGTGGTGAGTAAGGTAGGTATATACCTGGAATCTAGGATCTGTGGTGAGTAGGGTAGGTTTATACCGGGAATCTAGGATCTGTGGTGATTTTTCTATATACAGAGACCAATTTCACCTAGGATCTGTGGTGATGGTGAGTAGGGTAGGTTTATACCGAGAGTCTAGGATCTGTGGTGAGTAGGATAGGTTTATACCGGGAATCTAGGATCTGTGGTGAGTAGGGTAGGTATATACCTGGAATCTAGGATCTGTGGTGAGCAGGGTAGGTATATACCTGGAATCTAGGATCTGTGGGGAGTAGGGTAGGTATATACCTTGAATCTATAATCTGTGGGGATTAGGGTAGGAGGTATATACCTTAAACCTAGGATCTGTGGTGATTTTGCTTTATACAGAGACCAATTTCACCTAGGATCTGTGGTGATGGTGAGTAGGGTAGGTTTATACCTATAATCTAGGATCTGTGGTGAGTAGGGTAGGTATATACCGAGAATTTAGGACCTGTGGTGAGTAGGATAGGTATATAACAGGAGTCTAGGATCTGTGGTGAGTAGGGTAGGTATATACCGGGAATGTAGGATCTGTGGTGAGTAGGGTAGGTTTATACCGGGAATGTAGGATCTGTGGTGAGTAGGGTAGGTATATACCTGGAATTTAGGATCTGTGGTGAGTAGGATAGGTATATACCTGGAATCTAGGATCTGTGGTGAGTAGGGTAGGCCCAACAGCAACATATGCTGGCTCACTTGAATCATTTGAGTCAAGTTTCCTGAAAAAAAGAGTATTTCACAATGTTTTCTATTTAGTTTAGAAAACTAAAGATAGAATAAAATCTATATTTTCTGGGATAAGCGTAAGATTATCACATAAAAACATTCTAACCCGAGATAGATACTGTTCCATACATCTTAAAGATTACTGTTTCTTAACATGAAAAAGGTAATTCTTCAATTCATGGAAAAATTTTGTTATGGAGAATATCAGGAGGACAAGGAACGAATCCCGTGTACCGTTGATTATTAATGTATGAGTGTAAGGAATATATTCTTGGAAATTATTTAATACGCTGACTAGATTACTTTGAAGAAGCATGTACATCAAATTAGAGCATTTTTTTCGAAGAAAATGAATTTATGCAAAAAGTTTGTTGATTAATTCTATTATTTACCTCTAAGATATAGTAGTAGGACCTAATTATTTACCTCCAAGATATAGTAGTGGGACCTAATTCTTTAACTTCGCAGAATAATCTTGCTGTCGATCCTAATGTGACCTAGAAACAAAAAATTATATATCTTATAAAAACCAAGTATTTATTCTTATACTATTCCACCATTTAGTTTAGCAGGTTCTACTGGAAACTCAGGGATATCCTACCATTAGTTTAGTAGGTTCTACTGGAAACTCAGGGATATCCTACCATTAGTTTAGTAGGTTATACTGTAAACTTAGGGATATCCTACCATTAGTTTAGTTGGTTCTACGGTAAACTCAGGGTTATCCTACCATTATTTTGGTTGGTTCTACTGTAAATCTAGAGATACCCTACCATTAGCTTAGTAGGTTCTACTGTAAACTCAGGGATATCCTACCATTAGTTTAGTTGGTTCTACTGTAAACTTAGGGATATCCTACCATTAGTTTAGTTGGTTCTACTGTAAACTCAGGGATATCCTACCATTAGTTTAGTTGGTTCTACTGTAAACTTAGGGATATCCTACCATTAGTTTAGTTGGTTCTACTGTAAACTCAGGGATATCCTACCATTAGTTTATTAGGTTCTACTGTAAACTTAAGGATACCCTACCATTAGTTTAGTTGGTTCTACTGTAAACTCAGGGATATCCTACCATTAGCTTAGTTGGTTCTACTGTAAACTCTGGGATAAACCCTTCATCTGCCAGGTTTTCGTAAACACTGTATTCTTCCTCCAAGTAATCATACCTAGATATATTTCTAATTGAACTGAACACTCGCCACAAACTCTGATTTTCGAATATACGTAATATGGTGGAATAAACCTTTATATTTCGAACCTTGAATTTACATCAAACCGAAAACATAGTATCGAATATTAAGGTTTATGACATCATAGTATCGAATATTAAGGTTTATAACATCATAGTATCGAATATTAAGGTTTATGACATCATAGTATCGAATATTAAGGTTTATGACATCATATTATCTAATATCAAGGTTTATACATCATAGTATCGAATATTAAGGTTTATGACATCATAGTATCGAATATCAAGGTTTATGACATCATATTATCAAATATCAAGGTTTATGACATCATAGTATCAAATATCAAGGTTTATGACATCATAGAATCAAATATCAAGGTTTATGACATCATAGAATCAAATATCAAGGTTTATGACATCATAGTATCAAATATCAAGGTTTATGACATCCAAGTTGCAAAAATTTCAGTACTTTCAACTTTTATAAATGATTGATTTATATTGTTCAAATCTGAAGAAAAATTTACCCGTAATCTTGTTTTCTGTCCCTCTCCGCTATTGATCCAGAAACTAAATAAAAATGATGGTTTAGGTAGTTTTCAATTAATACAAAATACAAAAATACAAGATATTTTATTTTTTCAGTTTTTTTTTCTTCAAGTGAGTTGGACGACTTGATAATAACAGAAAATAATTTTTGATAAAAACAATGAATTGTTTACATACAAATGATATTCTACAAAAAAATCATATTTTAATACTAAAATCAAACATTTTGAAAGGGAGTGTTCGCGAAAAATAAGCTCTTTTGATCGCTACTAATCTTACTTCTATCTATTGCGTCTATAAGGAGAAAATTGTTAAAAACGTTTCATACTGAAACAACTTATACTCAAGAACGTAGCGTCAATTCAAACTGAGAAAGTTGCAACAATTTTATAACCGAAAGACTGATAGTTTTAGAACATCAAGTGAGCTTCTTTAGAATATTAAAAAATCCGAAATTGTTTGTGGTAATCCTAAATACATTAAATATTTTGCAAAAATGTTGGCTAAACATTTTCCACTTTTTGTTGAATAAAACCAATAGAAAACAAGTGTTCCTTATTTTCTTCCAACTTGAAATGATACCCCGCGGTTTTGAATGGTACTTTTTGAAGACATTTCTGTCCTACTAATAAAGATACAGGGTTACCCACAAAGGTTGAGACTGAAAAGACGACCTAAAATCCTGAAAAGTTGATGTTCCCATGGCCTTCTGCTATAAATCAAGTATTTTAACGGCTTATTCAATAATTTGGCAAGGAAAGAATCAAGTTTACAGTTGCAGGGAATCATGAATGGAATGAAACAGACTATATAAATTTGGTACTGACGTCTCTGAAGTCTCATCCTTTGCGGGTAACCCAGTACATGTATTCATAACTTACTTTGTATTTTTATTTCTTTTACCTGATTTTAGGATCAGAAGACAAATAGACAATAACATCATTATATTAAACTCTTATCATTGTTATCTAGTCTGGAAACATAACATTTTATCAATGTTATTTAGTCTGGAAACATATATAATATTTTATCATTGTTATTTAGTCTGGAAATATATATAATATTTAATCAATGTTATTTAGTCTGGAAATATATATATAACATTTTATCAATGTTATTTAGTCTGGAAACATATATAATATTTTATCATTGTTATTTAGTCTGGAAATATATATAACATTTTATCATTGTTATTTGGTCTGGAAATATATATATAACATTTTATCAATGTTATTTAGTCTGGAAATATACCAAACGAACCAGACAATTGTTCAGTTAACGTACCAAACCATTGTTTAAAAAAAAATTACTTATTAAATGAACGAACCAAACCATTGCTTAGTTAAAGAACCAAACCAATGTTTAGTTAACGAACCAAATACATTGTGTTAAGAACAAATCAAGCCATTGTTAAGTTAACGAACCAAACCATTGTTTAGTTAACGAAACAAACCATTGTTTAGTTAACGAACCAAACCATTATTTTGAGAACAAACCAAACCATTGGCAAGTTAACGAACCAAACCATTGTTAAGTTAACGAACCAAACCATTGTTTAGTTAACGAACCAAACCATTGTTTAGTTAACGAAACAAACCATTGTTTAGTTAACGAACCAAACCATTATTTTGAGAACAAACCAAACCATTGGCAAGTTAACGAACCAAACCATTGTTTAGTTAACAAACCAAACCATTGTTTAGTTAACGAAACAAACCATTGTTTAGTTAACGAACCAAACCATTATTTTGAGAACAAACCAAACCATTGGCAAGTTAACGAACCAAACCATTGTTTAGTTAACGAACCAAACCATTGTTTAGTTAACGAAACAAACCATTGTTTAGTTAACGAACCAAACCATTATTTTGAGAACAAACCAAACCATTGGCAAGTTAACGAACCAAACCATTGTTTAGTTAACGAACCAAACCATTGTTTAGTTAACAAACCAAACCATTGTTTAGTTAACGAAACAAACCATTGTTTAGTTAACGAACCAAACCATTATTTTGAGAACAAACCAAACCATTGGCAAGTTAACGAACCAAACCATTGTTTAGTTAACGAACCAAACCATTGTTTAGTTAACGAAACAAACCATTGTTTAGTTAACGAACCAAACCATTATTTTGAGAACAAACGAAACCATTGGCAAGTTAACGAACCAAACCATTGTTTAGTTAAAGAACCAAACCAATGTTTAGTTATTGAACCAAACCTTTGTTTAGTTAACGAATCAAACCATTATTTTGAGAACAAACCAAACCATTGGCAAGTTAACGAACCCAACCAATGTTTAGTTATTGAACCAAACCATTGTTAAGTTAACGAACCAAACCATTATTTTGAGAACAAATCAAACCGTTTTTTAGTTAAAGAATCAAACCATTGCTTAGTAAAGAACCAAACCATTTAACGAACTGTTTAGTAAAGAACCAAACCATTGTGAAGTTAACGAGCTAAACCATTGTTTAGTTAACGAACCAAACCAAAATGTTTTGTAAAAGAACTAAAAATCACAAATCTTTATTATTTGTTAAAATTGCAATTTCTAGCCGGCGGCCATATGTACCTATAGTAACGAAAGTGTTATTTTTAACTATGTTGCGTGTTTTGCTTACTAAAATTTTCAGTGGATTCGCAACATTAACGAACTTTTAAATGAAATTACCAATATCTACGAAAACTGTAAAAATAATCTTTTTTTTAAAAATAAAATGAGTAATTTTTACATTTTCAGTTAAAAAATATTCCAAATTAAAAAGATTTTTCCCCGTTGAAATAAAGCACAGAAATGCGCAAGTTGGAATATTTTGTTTATCAAAATTCCTCTCTTGAAAAAAGAAATAATGTTCCAGGATTTGCTTTTGACAAATTGCACTTCTTCCCCGCACTTAGAAAGTTTGAAGTTGAAAAATGTTTTCAGATTATTCAAGGAGAAAATAGTCTTTAGTAACTCATCACTTATACAGCTCGGACAGGCTCAAACGGACTGTAGATGAAATTTGTAAAGTGTTTTGTCCGAATTATAACAGTACCCCCTCTAAAACTTATTGAGCCAGGAAACTCTTGTAGTTGTTAACTACTTGATTGGAAAGTTGTTTTCCTTACAAGAAATATCAATATTTGCATGTTTTTAAAACTTCGATGGACAAAAATAAAAAGGATTTTCGAGGTATATATAACGTCAGCTGTGTTCACACTGTACGCTGCTTGGCGTACACTCCTTCTATCCCTTTACTTCCAGTCCCTTTAAAGTGACACAAAATTTAAAGTGACACAAAATTTAAATTGACACTAAATTTAAAGTGACACAAAATTTAGAGTGACACTAAATTAAAGTGACACTAAATTTGAAGTGACACTAAATTTAAAGCTATATTTGCCTGATTTACAACGATACCTTTAGTCATTTTCATGTCTTAAACAGATTTAATTTCTCTTGATTCCCTTCTTTTTTTATCCATCCAACCTAAACCCTCCGCATGTAACTTTACAGATAACCTTGCTCATGAAGAAACATAATTTTTCCTCTGACAAAGCTAAGTTTAAATGGTAAACTTTAAATAAAGGTCATTTAAAGTTACGTCACAAACCCAGTATAGAAAAATAGAATAATAGAAGATAGACTTGAAGAAAAAATCAAGCAGGGTCATCATAGCACGTGAGCTAAGTACATGCTTTCCATACAATCATCCCTTATTGGAGAAATAGATCTTATAAGGTCGTCTTTTTAATATGAATTACCCTATTTATTGTACATTTGTTCGTTGATTATTCTTAGTCTTTAACTTACATTTTGCTCTACAATTATAGTAAAGTCCTTGTCAGGAAACCAGTTCTATGAACAATATACGTACATACTTTTTACTAGGTATAACTTTCATATCAGTTTAGAGAGAATAGGGCTGCAACGGTGATGTTCATAGAGCTAAACGAAGGAAGGGAGACTCCGGCCTTTTGCAATAGAAATACAAGGTGCACTCCATTTTGGTTTTCCTATAAAGGAATTGAACTCGGATATTCTATTTTCTTTATCTTTGGAACCTTAGATCTTTCAAATTATGAATTCGGTTAGATAAACCACTTAATTTTAAATATTAAAGATAAACCACTTAGTTTCAAATATTAAAGATAAACCACTTAGTTTCAAATATTAAAGATAAACCACTTAGTTTTAAATGATAAAGATAAACCACTTAAAGATAAACCACTTAGTTTCAAATATTAAAGATAAACCACTTAGTTTTAAATATTAAAGGGTTTTCAAAGATATGTGGATAACCGGTTAGACAAAATTTTGTAAACCTCATTTTATTATTGTTTCATGTTTGAAACCCATTTTATTACTGTTTACTGTTTGAAACCCATTTCTTTATTGTTTACTGTTTGAAATCCATTTCTTTATTGTTCCTGTTAGAAACCCATTTTTTTATTGTATCTGTTTGAAACCCATTTTATTATTTTTTCTGTTTGAAACCCATTTTATTATTGTTTCTGTTTGAAACCCATTTTATTATTGTTTCGTGTTTGAAACCCTTTTTTATTTTTTCATGCTTGAAACACATTTTATTATTGTTTCATGTTTGAACGCCATTTTATTATTGTTTCTGTTTGAAACCCGTTTTGAAATCATTTAATTTTTTTCCCGGCAAAAGTTTTACAAATTTGTCTCTTTGACGTTTGTTCAATATAAAGAGAGCAGACAAACAAGCAAAAATGTTTGTATGTATATATACTGGGTGGGGGGGGGGAGGGGGTTTTCTAAAATACTTATCTTTTTTGACACACTAATAGCAATAACGAAACTGAACAATGCTTGTCAGTTGATATAGAGATTTTGAGGGGATACACGGACACAAAACCATTTAACAATAAACACGGGGAGAAAATATATATTCCTTTGTGACTTTTATCTTCCCAAAAACTTAGCTTTTCTTGACATGTTTAAAGATGTCTAGCGTGCACTTATCATTCTTACATTAATTTTGACTTGCAATTTCGTTGTTGCAAATCCGCAAATCAGGCCTAATTCTCCACTTTAATGCTTGTGATAAATCTTTCATGTAAAACATTTTTTTGACAGAAAAGTAGATTGATGTGTCATCAAAGAAAAGCTTGAATCTCAATCTACAGCAAACCCAAAGTTAGTTTTTTCTGCTGGATAATTCATGGTTTCTCCATCACAAAACCTGAAGAACCGGCAGCATAAACTTGGTCTCGGAGCAACAGATTTCTGTTAACTAAACTTTACCGGAGAATATCAGAGACTTCGGAGGATAGTTTGATAGATGGATAGATTGATAGTTGGATAGTTAGATAGTTGAATAGTTGGATAGTTGAATAGTTGGATAGTTAGATAGTTGGATAGTTGGATAGTTGGATAGTTGGATATTTAAATTAGTTGGATAGTTGGATAGTTGGATAGTTGGATAGTTAGATAGTTAGATAGTTGGATAGTTGGATAGGTGGATAGTTAGATAGTTGGATAGTTGGATAGTTGGATAGTTGAATAGTTTGATAGTTTGATAGTTGGATAGTTGGATAGTTGGATAGTTGGATAGTTGGATAGTTGGATAATTGGATAGTTGGATAGTTGGATAGTTGGATAGTTGGATAGTTGGATAGTTGGATAATTGAATTAGCTGGATAGTTTGATAGTTAGATAGTTGGATACTTGGATAGTTGGATAGTTGGATAGTTGGATAGTTGGATAGTTGGATAGTTAGATAGTTGAATAGTTGGATATTTGAATTAGTTGGATAGTTGGATAGTTAGAAAGTTGGATAGTTGGATAATTGGATAGTTGGATAGTTGGATAGTTGGATAGTTGGATAGTTGGATAGTTGAATAGTTGGATAGTTAGATAGTTGGATAGTTGGATTGTTGGATTGTCGGGGGATCATGGATATTAAATAGTTTTTAGCAAATTTACATTCTTTTTCAATTTTTCATATCATTTATTTTTTAAGTATA